GCTATCCAAATTCCAGAGCTTTTATTACCAGAAACCTTAGAACATATGAATGCTTGATGCAACATGGCATATTTCTGAAACATACAATCTGTAAATATGGAATTTATCAATTTCTTGTACTGAATACAGGCAGTAAATTCCTTTGATATAAAGGCTGGTTAAATTTCATAAAAATATGGTGTTCAAAAGCTGTCTTACTCCTAAAGGGCAAAAGTGCTTTTATGCATATGCACACACAATTTGACTTTTGGGCAAACTTGGTCTACAAACTGGAGGAAACAATCACATCAATTAAAACACAACATCTAGTTTTACTTATTTGTTTTTCTTACAGTAAAGTGCGAAACATGATGGCTTCTTAAACTACTGCAAATGGCTGTTCTGAAATACAGTTACACTTCGTTTTAGTTGTTGTACATCTTTCCCCACTGACTTAGCCTGCAATATAGCGCAGCATGTAAAAAGTTGTTGTGTTGGTGTAAAACTGATGCATATGAAATTTCATCAGTCATCTTTTCTGAGTCCAATGTATGCAAAGTCTTTGGCACAAACAAGGCCTTTTCTCTCCCAGTCTCCATTACAGTGTAAGTGGATATTTTGCTTTTCTGGAATATGCACAGGGATTTCATAAAACTGCTACTGTTTGTCTCTTAAAACATTACATACTCCAAAGTATGTGCAATTAAACAGTGTGACAGTAATTCATTCCCTCATCATATCTGCATTGCTGAAATGATAAATGAGCCGATAGAGACATTCACAAACCACACAGCAGATTCTGACGATCCCACATTACTCTTTAAAATAAGGAAATTGTGAAACTTAGAATTGTGTAGAACATCAGAACTAGATTTGATCATGTAGATCTAAGTACACTGTGTCTGAGTTTAAGTCTGTTTATAGCTGATTACATGCAGGGATGGGTTCTGATCATGCAGGTTATTAGCTGATTTTTTGACATTTAGATGTCAATTATGCTGGCTTTTGGAATTGGATTGATTTTTACAACAGAATGTCATTATAGCGCTTGCAGTGACATCAAGAACAGAACTTCAGCTTGATCTTCCTCTACAGAAGCTCATTAGAGATTCACATAAGAAGACAACCAACACGTGCTATTGCCATGGAAACAAGATGGAATATTATGAAGCAGTATAGCCCATATTCCAAAATAGAGAGGACAAAGTCAGAGCAATTATAGCACAAGACTGACAGGCTTTTTATTTGCAGCCTGTATGGGTCAAAGCAAAACTTAGCTCCTGCTCTTTGAAATAAAAATCACCAGTGCAGTTTTAAGACTCTGGTTTCAATTCCTCCTTTTCAAACATGAACACTCAAGCCAGTTAATTTAGTTTATGTTGTATGGGAGGAAGGAGGCCGAATGGAGGCAGAGGCATCGCAGCAGGTGTGTAGGTGTGATGATCTACAAAGCACAGACATCAGAGAACTGATAGAGGACTGAGTCAAGTTCGAGCCAGGCAGAGAGGTACTGACAGAGCAGAGGTGAGCAAAACCAGCAGAAGCCGAACATCTGGTATGTCATTAAGATGCAGAAGAAAGGCTGGTTTCAAATGCAATGGCTAGTCAGTGCCAGCGGCCAGAATGCAAAGGATAATATTTCTTGTGATACCCGTTAAATAGGCGAGTCTCACGGTTTCTCATGTTGCCTAGATAATGAAATGATTTCGGACATCCTGGACTTATTGTCTGTGTATATTATATAGGCAGTCTAACTTCCCAAGCTTCTGCGTGTGCCTACATACACAAAAAGTTCTTTAGGCCATTTAAAACAGCTCTGTCTGGTCTACAGAGAGTTTTTGATATTGTAAGAGTTTTGACCATTGTCTCTGGCTACAGAGTGCCAGCTGCTGAGTATGAGTGCATGTATTTTTTTTGTATTTGATGACAATATCAAAAAATAAAGGAGTTCTATGCTAATGCTAATAATGCTATATTTTACCCTTCCTGTAGAAAGCCTGTGATTGCCATGTCATTTGCACACTGGTTCTACCTTTAAGAAATATTTTTAAATTCCAGCCAAAGGTCTAGGACCCAGCAGTCTGTTGTAATCACTTTGAGCAAAGCCACTGTGGGCAAAACGTAGCTTAGGAAAGACAAATAGAGAGAGTAATAGGGTTTTAAGAAGTATTCAACAAGCTTTGGAAGGTCATACCAGGAGTTTGCCATTATAGAAAGGTCCTGTGAGATTCAAAAACACTTAGGAGAATGAGGAACGGGGAAAATACTACAGTACACAGAAAGCCTGTGAGCGTCTACTGAACTCGGCTTTGGGAAGCCTTCCAATGCCTGCAGATGAAATGTGCGGTATGCCACTATTTAATTATTATAAAGTTCACAAATTGTCATCCACTTAAGGAGATCATGTTTCTACCAAGTTCAATGACTTCAAAACTGACAGGTTACATTCACTGTTTCAACACTGGTTCATTCTTGGCTTTTTCTGTTTTGATTGGAAAAAGAGGATGAAAGACACTGTGATTTTGGGAGAATAATCTGAATGGAACTTTTGTTGCAAAACTCTATTCCAGAAAAACACACAGACTTTAATAGTAGTGAGTACCTTTATGAGAAGCAAAATACCAAACCCTTTGTTAAAAAGAAGAATACTAGATCAATTCACTTTCACTAGCACCAGACAAAGAGATAAAATGAGATATAGTTGATGAAAATGATGGAAAATAATAAACATTCTTTCTCATCTTTGCATGCAAACTTTCTTTCCCCAGCTGTTAAATACAATTCAGTAGTGCTAGCAATTATTTTTTTTTCCCTAAACCTTTTCCGTGTTTTTTTTGGTGTGCATTTGGGCTTTTCTTCTCTTGCTCTGCTTGCAGGGCTGCTTCACGAGCTGCCAGCTCTTCTTGTTTTCTGCGCTCAGCCTCTAGCAGCTTACTTCTGTATGCTTCCCGAATGCTGTGAACTCTGCCTCGTGCTTCATCTAAGGATGCCTAGCCAAAAACAAACAGCAATACCCCCCAGCACATGAATCGATTTCATCACAAGCAACTGCATCCTTCCTGTTATGTTGCACTTTGTGACTCCATAAGTACAGAAAGGGCATCTCTCCTTTTCTTTTTACATGTATTTTTATTGACTTGTCACAGTGACACAGCTATATGTCAATCTTTTCACCAGGGAGTAGAAGAAAAAGTTCATGAAAATCCTTTTAAAATGCTGGCATAATAAGCTAATTGTTTGAAAGGAGGATAGGGCAACAGACTAGTTACCCATCTGGGTTTAGTCCCTCTTCAGTTACTGCCTTGCTTTGTTGTCTTAAACAAGTCCCTTAAAACCTAGTTTTCAGCAATGCCGAAATGGCTTAGGAGCTCTAGTCTTTTAAGAGACTAAAGGAACCTAAATCACATTGACCTTCAACAAGAGTTAGGGCAAATGGGACTTGGACACTTCCGAAAATGTTTCCCTTTACATTTCTGTCCTGGAAAATGGGTATATCTGAATACCTTTATATAGTTGTCTGCGGTCTACAGGTGAAAAAACTGTAAAAGTGCTGATCAGCACAGTATGAATATTCACAAGTATTTTAAATTAGTCCTGTGAAACATCTTTAATGGATATACTTTTTGGAAAGAGTCGAGGAACTACTCTTAATAAAAATTTGCCCTTCTAATATATGATATGTTGGGCATCCAAAATCATAGCAACATCTGAAAACCTGGACATGCGTTCCTGTTAGGATCAATCAGTCACTGGTAGAGAACTATGGCTCCTTGCAGACTTCTAGTTAAGCAATATAAATCAGGCTGTCTGGGAACTCGTTAAGGAGATGTTTTCAAGTGATTGCTGTAAATATGTTGGTTTGATGTAAAATTATTTTTAGTCTCTTATCCAGTTTTAAGAGCTCTAAATAGTCACCAGCTATTTTTGTACTGTATAACAAAACATTTTGCTCCTGTTGACTGTCAAGAGTTAAGAGAATTTTGTTAAGATATTTGTACCAATTTCACGTGCAATGCATTGTCTGAGTTAATCCTAACAATGGATCATACAGGAATGCTACCAAATTTATTATTTCTAGACATGTTTTTTTAAGGATTAATAATTCCATTTTCTTGTTTGTTGGCATCATGCTTATTCCACGAAAACGTTGTTCTCTAACTTTGCTGTAAGACACGTTAGGAGCAACTCACCCTACTATGTAAATTATCTTGTTCTTTATTACTTGCCAAAAAGCCCTATACAATTCCATAACCCCCCAAAATAGCCAAATCAGAGATGTTTTATCTAATATACATCTGGTCATAGATATCAAATGCTCAATTCATTCTCACTTTTAACTATCCTTTTATGCTGATATTCTTAAAATAGTGTTTTTGAAAAGGGCTGTATCAAGAAAGTACCAAGAATATCATATTAAGGATGTTGTATAGTACTGTTTTTTTTCCCTAGAACCTGTACTTTTAACTTTTGCCCAAGCAAAATTTCAAGCTTGTTCATTGCTTCTAGTTATTGATACTGAATACAAAAGTCTTGAGAATAGTTGATCAAGATATTCATACTAGTGGTGGATGTCACTGTAATAGTTACTGGGAAGTAATCTTGAAAACCTACCTGCAGATTCTCATACATTTCAAGTATATTGTGCTTCAATAAAGCTCTGGCATTTTGTTCTTTTTCTCTTTGTTCCAAAGTCAGCTCGCGAAGTTCCCTAAAATGGTTGATTTTTTCCGCTTTATGCATCTCTTGCTGTTGAATGACAGACTCATTTCTTAGCACAGACTCAGACATTGTTTTTCTGAAGGAAATAAAAAAATATTTGTCTCACATCTAATGCAGTTTTCGGTGGTGTATATTTTGCTTAACACCTCTATGCATATACTTGGCTTATATACTACAATGTCACCATCGTATGGTTAGATATGGTTAAGGAGTCACTTTTCCTCTGCTTATATATAACCCCAATAAGAAAATACATTCCTGAGGCCAGGTCCTCTTATACTTGAGTGTCTATTTTAAAATATTTGTAAAATCATGCTCATCTCTGAGCATATGAAAAACTCCTACATGTGACACTTATTTTTAATTTGCAAGAAATATCATCTTTCCAGAAGTTTTTGATATGATAATTCATCATTGAGACAAATGTAATTTATTTTTTTTGCCATTGGCATAATGGAAGCTAAGTGCATAATGTATTTTTATAATTTGACTTAAATGACTAGTGTAAAAGTCAAGGAGTTGAAGACAAATGAAATGCTAACAAGACTCAAGTCTGTGGAAGATATTTTGCCATATTTTCTACTGTTTTAATATTATTCACTTTAATATAACACCAGTTCCCCTTTCAATTTAAAATTAAATTTGGGGATTTTTTTCAGCATGTTCTAAGGTCTTTTGAAAATCAATGAGCTGCATAAATGCCACATTGAATACAAATGGACTTAAGCATGAACTGGGTTCTAGCTGCAGCACAGCAAATGTGCAGGTGCATGTATATTAGCTAGATAGGTTCATATCAACACACGTAATAAAGAATATAGGCCTTTTGAATAAAGAATATAGTTACTATAATTATTTCATCTATTTATTATTATTAACTGAACTGCAATTGCTAATTATATTGTTTGAATCTAGCATCACATCCTGACAAACTTCATATGTACTTCTTTCAAGATGACCACTGAAATAAACATAATTGCCTGCACATGCATTTTCTTCAGGTTTTTATGTCACATTCTCATTACATGCAGTGCAGTGATTCAGTTCCTTTGACGTGTATTATGTTAAGGAAAGGACATAAATTGAAAATGGATGTAGGAAAGCACAGATTTGCACATGCCAGGAAAATCAAAGCTGAAAACTGTATCTTGATGCCATCTACATTTCTGGGTTCACTACTGAGTGGTGTTGTGTACACAACATAAATAACAGATAAAACATGGGCCAGGATTTTCACAGCAACTTTAACAAGCATGTGACAGAATTGTAATTTACTTCAATGACATGTGAAGGAAGAAGTATAAATTCACATCAATTATACTGCATCCAATTACAGATAGGATACAAGTGCATAAAAATATATTGCATTTACTAATTCCTATACATGAAAATCCCTAGCCAGTCTTTTATTTTGGTGTTTCACTGGGACTTAGTTGTTCTTGCTGCAGTTTACCTCATGTAAGGACTAAGGTCTATAGGCTCCCACTTTTTTTGCTGCGTTTGTAAGCTTGAGTCAATAGCTGTTTGTGATGCTTTCTTTCCTGTGGTAAGAGAATCTACAACAGAACAGATTAAAGTGGTTATTCAGTTATGCTAGGAGGCTCCATCTAAATACTTATATAGTTTTTTCCTCTTTTGGCTCAGCAAAATACACTCGTGATAGAATCAAAGATGCTGCAAAATCCCCACGTATGCTAGAGAGAAATCCATGGTACTTAAGAAGGTACCTAAGCAAGAACATTCAATTTAAAGTGCCTAAAGAATTTAAGAACAACTTCTAATCAGCAAGGAATCACATTCTTTTATATATAAAAAAAAAAATCTGTAAAAATTTGATTGTTCAGTTCAGTTTAAAAAAATTACATTCACTTTTGGGCAGAGCTTTAGTTTGAGAAATGCCAGTCTAAAGAAAAATGGTCCCATGACAACTTAAAATTGTCATTCTGAAGTCTTAGATTTTTTTTTTAACCACATGGATAGTAACCATATTATGCTTTAATGTAGCATTCTCACAACACAATGACACATCTGATATTAAACATGCCACTGGGCTTAACTGCATTGTGATTAGTCCAATGCTTCATTCTTTCAGTTCTTGTGGATGTACTGAAAATGCATGTGAAATTTGATGAGACTTAACGATGACTGCAGTAGTTTGTTTCCATAAAAACTCTCTTATTACTCTACTTATTGTAGTAATCAATTGAAACTTTTTAAAAGCTACTACTGGAATTTTCTCACCAGAAAAAGAAAAGAGGTTTCTGAGCATTAAAAGAGATTACTGTCTATACATAGAGAAATACACCAGCTTTCTCTGTTGGTCTAGAAGGGTGACATGGACTTTGGAAGTGCCTTAGACACCGTCCATCAGAAAAATATTCTCCAGAACATGACAATTCTCATTAAGATACCAAACATTACAAATATGTTCAAGCACATTATTGCCTATTGCTGCACTCTATGGAACCGAACCATAACAAAGTCATTGGCATATCACCTCTTTACTTCATGAGACACTGTATTAGACTCCAAATGCTTAGTTTAGAACAAAGCTCTTGGTAGACAACAATTAATTCTGAAGTTCTTACACAATAGCTTAAAGGTAATAATATTTTTTCGAGTTCCTTTGGAATGCAAGAAGTAACTAATGATGTGTTTGTTTATGGCATAAGGTGAGGACTACTTCTTCTTTAAGTTCTGAAGCATTCCTGGGAGGATTACTTACCTCACTGGGAAAATACTAATCTTCACAAGTTATGTACTAGTCACAGGTTCTAGCTGCGTACACATGAGCCAGGACCAAATATCACAATCAGACTGGGTATTATACTTTCTGTTTTGTGATGGCCTGATCTCAGCATTATTCTCAGAAGAAAAGAAAAAACAAACAAACAGCCTTGCAGCCTTGCACTCAGTTCAGATTTTCATCAGACTCTGGTAATTGCCACAGAATACAAATGAAGAATGCATCAAAATTGTAACCACTACGTAAAATTAGACAACACTTCTGGAAGCTGCCAGGAAGCTGATGCTAGTCAGTATGCGCTTTTTGACACCTCACTTCCACACCACTGTCCGTGAACAGTTTCCATGAACATTAACATAAAGAAAATGTACATTAGAAGTATTAGTATCTTACTGACATGCTATTTCAATTGCTAAACAACTTTTAAATATTTCTACGTTAATGACCCAGCTTGGAATTGAGGACTTAAGCCTTTTCGACTGAACTTCCAAAAATTTCAGGTTAATTAGGGTTAGAATTCTAGTACAGGAGGACTGTTTAAAGTTTGCTTAAGGGTAACTTGGCAGCCTCCAAGAGCGGTGAGGCTATATCTGTGTCTGAAAATAGAGCAATGCAACAGCTAAACCAAAAAGGACAGAGAGGATAGGGACTGAACATGCCAAGTGCATCTGGATACCTTTTATCGGGGTTGTCTATCAATTTACTACCAGTATTTAATGCAGAAGTCTTTTCTAAGGAGCTGAACATGATGAACAGATGACCTGCTTGACAAAAAGTTATACCCTTACCTCTTTCTCCTGAACTGGGTGTTACACTGGAAGTCTCAGTCCCAGCTGTGGGCTCCTCTGAGTCTCTCACAGCATACTTATTAATAAACCGCATACGTTCCTGAAAAGCCTAAAGATCAAAGTTTTAATCCAGATAAGAATACTTCTAATGTGAACTTTAAAACCCAAAATACTTTCAAAACTAGGAAGCTATAAGTGGTCAATAAGACAGTAAATCTTCAGATCCAGTGCATGTGAGCTATGATGCTACTTCGTATTAGTGGTGAGTATATTTCACTGGTTTGATCTATGAAAACATCACCTCTAACAGGAATACCATTAGTGAGTCATTGGGCAGAGAAAAAGATAAACATAAGAGGACCACATTTCATGTCAGAGTCATATTCATGACATCTCTTCAATAGATTTTTTTTCTTAAATAATAACCTTTCAACATTAAACCTCCAATTTTTTCCAGTAACATTTTGAAACCTTTATTTGTTTAGTTTTAATGTGTTGTGCAGAGAAGTAAATTAGCAGTCATCCTTAAACTTCATCTGTAATTTATATCAAGCATGTCTTGAGTGTATGAATAAGAACCCCTACGTAAACTTTTGTGAGAGGGTAGTTAAGTGAAATGAAAAGTAGGCAGTACACTTTCAATGGTTTCACTCCACTGAATGCATACTGGCTATATTTAGTGTGTATCCCAAACAAGAAAACAATGTTGTCAATAACGAGCCTAACACCAGAGTGCAGTATGCAACTCTGCCTGGGGCTGGAATCAGAAGCAATGCTAGAGCTCCCATTCAATCAGTCCAGAGATATCGAATACTTACACTAAAGATCATCATGCAATGAAATACTGGAAAATCACTGATCTCTGGGTAGTTTAAAATAATATTTGGATTTAAAAATCAAAACCAAAAAAAACCAATCCCCCCCCCAAACCTGAAAAGTGAGGTTGGTTCCCTCATAACTGAATGTACGATCATAATATTCAGCTACTGCACCTCCTTAGGGAAATATCTCTTCTTCCTAGGAGCTCCTATAGCCTGGTGATTTAGACTTCCTCCTGAGAAATGGGAGCTATGGGTGTGAACTCTTTCAGACTTTAATAAACCTTTAATGCCAAAACCAGGCATCACCACTTCTGCCTGTCTTTTTAGAAGGTGACCTCAGCTCACTAGACTTTCTCTTCAGGGCACAAATTGCCAGAATGGACGGAGAAGGCAAAAGTCAAGCCTGGAGTCAGGCATCCAATTCCCAGGGTCATAGGGCATGTGACCCCTGGAACAGGCAGACGTTGGGGCAGGATGATCAGGAAGAAAGAAGGAGGGTAGCTACTTAGTCTGGATATCAGACCCCCAAATTAGACCTTCTTTTTTTTAGCATATTACATGTAGTTGCTGCAATGTTCTTAACAATGGCTGTTTTAGAAAAAAAGGTCACGGACCTAAGGGGCTTTTAAAATGGAACCCTTTAGCCGTAATTCAGTTGATTTTCTGATCAAAAAAGGCAACGGTGATAGAACCAGCATTCTGAAGACACTCTTTACACATCAAAGGGGGTTCATTTCCAGCTAATCTTTAGGACACTGTACTAGCATTTTCAGTCTCAGCACAGCCAATCAAAGCTGCAGAGTAATGCACCTCTCCTTAGATCAGAATTCAATGAAGTAGCGTCAGAAAAATTTTGGAGTTTTGGATACACTGAACAGAACTGACAAAATCTGAAAGTGTTACTATGAAGACCCATGTCTGAGGTTCATTTCTGAAAGGTAATACAAAAATGGCAAAATGCTTCAGAGCTGGGGTTTCTGGCTGAATACCCCTCAAAGGTCATTGGTGGTGGTGGTGATGGGGGATGACTGTTACAGAATCACAGAATGGTCAGGGTTGGAAGGGACCTCTGGAGATCATCTAGTCCACGCCCCGACCAGAGCAGGGTCACCTACAGCAGGTTGCACAGGACAGCGTCCAGGCGGGTTTTGAATGTCTCCAGAGTGGGAGACTCTACAACCTCTCTGGGCAGCCTGTTCCAGTGCTCTGCCACCCTCGAAGTAAAGAAGTTCCTTCTCATGTTAAGATGGATCTTCCTATGTTCAAGCTTGTGTCCATGTTAGGTAAGTTTTAAGACTGCATTTTGTTCCTTTATTTTCCTTTTTTTTTTTTTTTTTTTTTTTGGTAGTGATGCTTCCAATTCTGAATCAGCAGTTTAATTTTTTGATTTGCTAGAAAGAACTTGTATTATTTTTCTGTCTTAATCATGCGTCATGTCAAAAGAGCCCAGCTGCAGCTGACATCTGAATTAGTATTGCTTCTCCAAAACAGTGAATTCATATAGAGCAGCACGTACAGGCTGATGGGTAACCTGCAACCCAGAATGAAGTTAGGAATCCTGGCTGCAGGGGACAATTTGAGTGATGATATGGCCAGGTGCCAGTTCTTCAAGAGAAATCTTTTTGGCATGTTTGTAACAGTGTATTTCTCACTTGTATTTTCTCATGCTAAACACTGAACTTGTCACAAGTAGCAGCTTTGCAATTGTGTAGAGGCAGTGAGCTTTCTAAGGAGAAACTTTACCCTGTTTTGTAAAGTCAAATCTAAAGTTTGAGTGGTCTACAGAAGTCTACAGGAGATGATCTGGATTCCTGGCCAGAATTCATGCACATAATCACTTTTGATGCTTTAAGCTGTGTAAAATTTCCAGTCTTCCACAGAGTGGTGAAGAGGACAGCCATATGAAGTCAAGCTCTGTTCTGGCAACTCCCCTACCATCACAGCAGCTCCTGGAACTTGTGAGGAAACATTACTGCAAAGATTGCAGTCTGATATTACCTTGATAGCTCGTCCTGGCTCTGCAGACTCCCATGCTTGTTTCATGGCTTTGATCTCATCTGCTCGCTGGGTGTCTTTCTTCACCTCCAGGATGTCAGCCTCTCTCTGTTCGCTAACTAGACGTAAAGTCCAGTACGGTTTGTTTGAAGCAGCTTGCTGAAAGTGAAATATCATAAACACAATGTATTCATTGGAATGCATCTACTACCAATATTTAGAACAATGTTATGTTTCTGTATCCTGGTAATTTTCCTGACTGATATACATTATACACTGACAGACTTTGACACGCATCACTACACCGTGGCTGCCAAAGGAAAGGAAAATTACTGTGCAATATCTAGAAGCTCTTAGAGGTATTTTGTTTACGTGCTTCCCCCCACTCCCGTAGAGCATGCTCCACGCTCCCAGTTCTTCTCAAGTATGTCTGAACAAGAGTTTTTGTAGCAATTATTGCCTTATCTTCTAGTCAAGCTTTTTTCCTTTCCTTTCCTCCTTTCGTTTCCTTCCTTTTTTCCACAAGCTTTTTTACTGGAAATCTTATAACTAAGCTTTTTGTATAGAAATACATCTTGTTGTGTCTTATGAGGCATCTGATTCTTTCCAATCACTTCCCAAATTCTCTAAACCACCTTAATGCATGGCTTCTCCAGAACTGTAGGGTGCAAGTAGTGTCTCAAGTGTAGGAGACTCTTCTGCTGTCTGACCCATGAATAAGATATTGTGCTGCATATATTTCTGGAAACTGTACCATCTGCAGAAGCTTTAAGCCCAAGATTTAGAAGTAGAGATAGGAGTTCAGCTTTCATTTGAGACTAAAGGTGGGTATCTTCTTTATCTACAAGCAGTTCCATTTTGAAACTTGCATCTGTTTTAGGGGCAGACTGCAGAACTCCCAAGAGCTATCATCCCAGCACTCCTAACATACCCCATCGTTGGAGCTGAAGGCAGAAATTGGACACAGCCTGCAGCTGCATTGCATTTCTGTGGCCAACAATCTCAACTGCAGCCACTCGGACTGCTCCGAAGGAAGGGTCAAGCCACTGTTTCAGAACTCTATAGGTGTGGATGTGAATCATAAGAAAGTTTGCTGTGCAGCAGGTTTAGCCAACAAAACAATTCAGTACAGATTTCTTCATGCAAATCTCTATGGAGATGCCCTCCCCTTGAACTACCTGCCATGAGGCAGCAAAATTCCCAGCAAAAGCAATACTATTAAAGGAGGAGCTGTCAGTTTCTTCTTTGCCTTCCATTAATCTGTTTGTGATCCATAAAGTCAATTATTCCTTTTAAGGCACACAGGCTGGTGGTAGCCTTTCGGTCAGCCACAGAACACTCAGATTATCCCACCACAGATGAGAAGAATTTGCAAGTAGGTACCAATTTTTCTGCCGTTGTATGTCCGCAAACTAATGACAATTGTGACATACGAGACAGGAACTGACTGTAGCGGAAAGACCTATTTCATCTCCCTGGGAACCCATGAAAACCACTACAATGAGGGATTAATGGGACATGCATATCGTGAATTCATGGAATTTAATAAACCTTCAGCAGAGACAGAAACTAGGCCAACAAAAGGAACAACCAGTAGTTGTTTTACACATAAACAAAAAAATGAGCACATCATTACATCTCTAAATGCAGGATGCCTAACTGTTACGTTTGTAATTCAGTCTCTCTCAACTGTAAAGCTAAAAAGGTGGCAAAGCAGGGCATAGAGAAACAAAAGGGATACACTAAAAGTGCTAGTAATACTGATCTGCAGATCTGAAAATATCTTTACAGTCAGTACAATGATGGCACATTCAACAAATCCAGTTTCTTGGATTTGTTCTCACCTGAGACTCAGGACGAGATGCAAGAGATACAAGTGATCCTCTTTCTTTATTGGACTTATCTTTTTCTGTCTTCTCAGATGCTTTATCTTTTGATTTTTTAGTTGGTTTAGGAATACTTGCAGACTTTTGTCCTTCAAAATAATTAAGCATTAGGGGAAAGCTGTGCTCTTCATGCTTTTCCCCATGCACTATTCAGGTGTAGTTATGATGCATGATGAATTACAGGATACCATTGTCATCCATAAATATAGTTCCCCATATCATATCCAGGGTGGAATAACAGCACAAAACAGCGATACAGAAAGACAAAGAAAAGTCAGTTAATTAGTTGGCACTTTCAAGTATGACACTAACATTTATTGTTGGACTAAGAAAGAATGTGGGGACAAAACAACTTTTTAAAACAGACCTACATGGTGGACACATTGTGACAGCCTTATCCGTCCTAAATAGCACCCAGGACTTAACAGTGAGTTTGCCATGGTCCCTGCACATCAGTCACTGCTTTGTTGCCATGTGTATGGGTCAGTCCAAAGACTGCAATGTACAGAATCACAGTCTGACTCTTATCTCTTACATGGTCTGATACAGTCTCTGTCAGCGTTATGCACCAGGCAGGTGAGAATTTGAGATCTGATGTATATTTAAGAAATTCAAAATTATCATTCTCAGAACTACTGGAGAACATTTTGGAGTAATTACTTTATCAGTACATGTGTATGCTATATGTATGCTATATGTTTGAATTAAAGATGCCGAGAATTGGCATATGTAACACTCTGCACTGTTTTAGCTGGTGGGAGCTGTTAACAAGCCTTTTTGTATGTCATATTCTTGTTAAAACAAACAAGCAAACAAACAAATAAATAAATAAAGCCTGTAATAGCATACAGCTTTAATAGTATAAGGAACATGTCAATTGAAACAATTTGGAATGGACCCACAACATTATGAGAAACATTAAAAATCTGAGTCTGAAATCTCCATTTCCCTCCACCTTCATACTGCTTGAAACATTAAAACAAAAGCTGAAAACCTAGGTTTAGTCAATACAATAAACCACGGGATTTCTTTTAGAAAAAAGAGGAAATGAGTGACTGTTTTACAATCTGACAATAATAACAAGGTACCTTTCACTTAATGCTATGCTTTTCTAATCCCTTTACACTAAGGAAAAATCACTATGCTGCATGGTTTGATCCGAAGTTCACTAAGATTATGCACTGGCTTTAATGAGGTTTGGATCAGATCTGCAATGTCATGGCTGAGGTTATATGGATATACAAAATTGTAATTATTAAATAGATAGAAACATATTTATAATACACACATAATTTACACATAAATATATATTGTATGATCTATATGTGTATTACATCATACATTACAGATGTGTTTATGTATAATTTGTATTATTCTTATCTCCTCATGCTACTTAAATAATGTAGAATTTATTTAATGTAGCTTAAATTCATTGAATCCTACCAAAGCATACCTTAAAGAATGAAAGCAAAAATTAAAACATTCTCCACAAATATTGAAGATACTAAAGCAACTCCAGAGGAAATGCAAATATAAAATAAATAGTGAAGACATTATTTGAAGTTATAATATTCTTACATAATGGCTTTCCATTTAATTTCACATTATCATAACATATTAGCACCATAAATTAGGCTGGTGTACATGCATTATTCAGTGAATTATTAATTTTTAAAGATAAATTATTTATTGTGTATACAAACACTCAAGAGACATTCAGTGTCATTAGCTAAATGATATCAGACAAAGACTTTCTATGTCATGGGATACCACAAGCTTTGTCTGGCTTCTATAAATATTTTACAACTCTGAATTTTAACATTTTGATGCTCTAGATTTATTGCATAAACTAAGACATTAGTGAATAACAAAAAAAAGCATATGAAATGACCCGGCTAAAATGAGGTATCCTGCTTTAACCCCAGATATGAAGGCTTAGGGCTTGATTCAGTTGAGATGTCTTAGCTAACAGCACGCCGCACTGTCCAGGTTCCCCCAGCCCTCCTCCCTCCCCCAGCAGAGCTGGCAGTCTCCCTGGCTTTGGGATCATCCTCCAGATATTCCCGGTGGGGGCACTGGCTGCAGTTTGGCACTACAGCATGCAGCCCACTCGGACTCTAAGGGAGATGTGAGTAGTTCCTCTGGGCTCTTCCAAGGACAAAGCCAGGCAAATGCTTTGTGTGGGATGTCATAAGAAGAAAGGCAGGGAGATGATACAGAAAGTAAAAGGCCATCCCAGCTCAGAGCTTATGCATCAATCATCACACACTCTCAGTGGCCGTTATTGTATATGTATGACACCAATAAAAGCTTGGGCAGTGAGGACAAATAGCTGATAGAAACTCTTAAAATTAGCTTCTCTACCACATTTCAATTACTTACTCAGAGATTCATTTAGTCCAATGCCAGAAGGGCCCACAGTGATCATCCAGTCTGATTTCCTGTCTATGACAAGCTAAATAATTACACCAAATGATTCCTATCTGAAACTCATAACTTCAGATTGAGATACAACAATTCTCTTTTTTAGGCAAGACAGAGAGCTACTCTTGATTTCTGAAATTCAAATTACAGAGAATGTATCTTATTCATAGGTAAAATACAGAGGAGTCTTTTGAAGTTTTCTTTGAGAAGAAATCATGCTCCCACTATCTGAAATAGGCTCTGAACATTTAGTGGGATTACCCAGTAGTCGGCAGAAATGACTTTTACTTGCCCCATGAGGGACTTTCAGACTTGGTTTGGAAATGACCAAGAAGTTCAGATGTTGATTTTCCTGTCTCTGACTGGACCGTCAGAAGGATTCTCAACAGATAGCAACGACAAAAATCTTTCCAAAGTTGGGCTCATCCAAACACTAAAGTTGAAGTAAAAATGTACCAGGATAGAAGCAAACCACCAATATGGTTGCAGTAGTAGGGTAAAGCCACAGCATGTCTTAAAGGTCTATAGGTCTTTAAACTCCAGCACCATCATGTATCCTCAGTGACCTATTTTTTCTCTGAACACCAGGAAAGCGATTAATCACTACAAACAGGCAAGGTGGAAAAGAGATAAAGACAGGGAGAACTGAACATCCTTTTAAACCTGTCATGAAATCCTGCCCTTGGCACAAGCCAGCAAGGTCTCCTGCCAGAAGAGAAAACCTGTGGGAGAAACTTTCCCAGCTCTGGAGAAAAAAAAAAGTATTCCAAACGATACTGGCTCTCCTGCCTTTTCAAACCAACCTCTACTACCTGGGTGGGGCGCCCTATCTCCCCCTGCTCTCCCAGTCGGATAATCAGCCTTGTCTCATCAACAGCTAATACTCTTGAGCTATCTTACGGCAATATATAAAATACTTGCTGCAGTCAGCATTCAGTGCACACTGATGATTCAACTCTGGGTTGTGACATCTGCACAATAAAACTTCTGATCTTACTACCAGAGAAGTAAAACCAAAGAACCCAAAAAGGCAATAGCTGAAAATCATATATACAAATCTTAAAATAATTTTGTTCGCACAGTCAAGCAACTTAAAATGGTATTAGCAGTTGCAAGATCGCCTGTTAATTTCTCCCCTTTTACACAAGAATTATGATCCAGACCTTCCTTTTTTTAACTGTTTTTCCATTGAAGCCTTGCCCCATTAACAGTTCCCAATGGAAGGAAAAAAAAAGAAAAAGAGAGAATAGAAGGAAGACTGTATAAATTATACACTATCTGGCACTTTCTAATTTCTGTGTACTTGGGTTTTCCTAGTTAATGCCTTTTTAATGTTCTGTTTGTGCAATGTGGCCTTTAATAAAACATTTAATGAGATTTCGTATATAATAAAAATGACTAAATATTAGTCATGAAATAACTTTTGCTAACACAGTTCTTTTTACAAGTACTGCCAAACTGCAATATTAAGGATTTTGAAGAAACAAAAGAATAACAAACATCAACAAATACAAAATACAAAATTGTCATAGCATCTGTATGTTGGAGAACTTACTTTCTTCAAAAATGTTCCTAATAAATATTTATAATATCGTTGAATATCGATAGTATAATAGCATGGGCCTTTATTTAAAGGTAGACTAGTTTAAAAGACTTTAGTAAATGCTGATACAAAGCTGAAATATGCTTTTGCCATGGTAAATTAGCTTTAATACAAAACTAACTCCAGATGGCACTGTTGCCTTACATGAAAAAGCAATACCTGAAATGGTGAAAATTTGCTGCAGGAATTTTCCACCTGGCTCATTGCAGCTTTCTTGAAAATCACAGTGTGAGAGGATGCCTTTTTGGTTACACACCAACATTGCTGTTACGTGAATGGTGTGTTTGACAACGGGTGCTGGCAGCTTTAAATAGTAAAGCTCAGTTTTCAAATTGCTTTAAGACTAGTTCACAATCAGAAAAAGATTCAAAGATTAACTGTGGGTTTTTTTCCAAAATAGTTACCTTCAGCAAGCACTTCAGATAAATATTGCTGTTAATAGGGGTACATAAAATAAATGTTAAGTATTAAATACAGTAAGTGTTGATGTTTAAACTTTATGATATATGCTGGTTTTAAACTCTGTTAGTGGCCTGGGCAATCTGTTGGTATCCTGGTATAAACAAAACCACCCAGTTAATATGAACTATGAAATGGATTTGAGTTACTTTGAAAGGCAGCAAATATGACAGGACACAGGAATCACAACATCTAAAAAGAATCCTAAGCGAAGAGCGCTTTTTATCACTGACTGTGGCTTGAGACTGGTTGACTGGAAATGAGCCACAGCATCGGTTAACATGGGGAAGTTATGAACTGGAATACTCCTACCTTGAACTAAACATGAGAAAACTCATGACATTGACAAGCTTCAGTAATAACAGCTGAGAACAAGTGAAGAAACTTAGAGATTAAGTGACCTCCTTTGACCTGCAGTTTTACAGACCATGGTGATAGCGGTATGAAAGGATACGCACCAGTAGCAGTATGAAAGGATACACACCAGTAGCACGACTGGTGCGTATAATGCAAGCTGTTACTATGTAGCCAACCCAGAAAGATAAGCCAATGTAATAGGATGTCTGTTATAAGAAGCAGTCTATCATTAAAGGAAAAATGAGGAAAATAAATGGAGTCATCTAGGAAGAAAAGATGATTTTGTGAAGAACACAACAAGCTAAAAGCAAGTGAAATAACCACTAAAACTGCTGTCTTTGTACAGGCCTGTAAGCCTACATGACATAGCTCCTCAAATAGTACTAAAACTGACTAAGGACTATGGTAAACCAACAAGATTTATCTTTGTGAAATTCTGTAATGCTAGCTGAAAAAAGGACTCCAAAAATCTCAAATGGTGCACTCAAATACAAGAAAAGAAATAATATATGTCAGCAATTACTGCTGATGAATCTAATTTCAGTCCACGGTAATAGAAATTTAAAAAGAAACCCAACAACTAGACGTTAAAAAGAAATATGTAACCAAAGCAAGAAGTGAGAAATACCACTAATAAATCAAGATCAAACCTTCCAAAGAAAATTTAAGGGTATTAGCAAGTGTATAGGTATGATCAGGGATAACGCAAATAATTTCTCCTTATCTCATATTTTAAAAATTGAGTTATAGAATTTTAATAGCGATGATGCAGGAAACTTACTGAGTAGTAGAACTGGCGTGGAATTTTAGGTTCTGCAGGAATGTAGGGGCGAGAGCACAGGGGAATCAGTTACTGGGCCCTGGGAAGTCCTGGTCACCAGCGTGTGTGTGTGATGGTCTGCACCAGCAGCTGAGTAGTGCTGCAGCCTCAGGAGCTCTATGGGATCCAGGGGCCAGCTACTGGGCAGACTAGGTGTCTAAGCCCAGTTGCTGGAAGGATCCACCTTATATATATATACGCACGAGCGCACACACACATATATATTGCCTCACTACTGGACTTCCATTCTGTCCAGCCAGAGAGGGGAGCAGGATGAGGCCACTGGTGCTGTCTGTGTTTGGGTGAGTGCTCTGAGTGTCTGTCTGATTTGTGTCACCGGCAGTGTATATATGTATATACATAGTATGTATGTGTGTTCTGTGTGAGTGTGACTGCTGGGACTACATCTTCAGCCTTCCTACTGGTTGGACCTGGACATGGAGTGGCAGCAGCCTCGCATCTCTTGTGCTGTTGGACCAAGCATGATAAATTTTCCTCTAACATAGTCAAGATCTAAATGATTCTGTGTCAGCCCCAGCAGTAAAAGGAGAAGCAAAGATGAGACGTTTAACTAATTTCTAAGATACTGACTAGTATTCTAACTGCTTTTAATATGTATTGGGTTTTTTTCTGTCCCTTAACAAGAAATGCTAAGAGAATCTGAAAAAAAAAAAAGTTTCTGAAATGTCTCTGTCCCCTTCCTGGCTTGAATGCACAGCCTGTCCTTGGGACCTTTTCTAGTCTTGCCTTCTACCTACATTCTTCTCCCAGCAGTATAGAAGTAATACATATCCCAAAACAGGACTTTTCCCCCTTCTGTCAGTGCACGTTCTTCAATTATCAGCAGGCGTGTTTCTCTAGTTTCAGTAGAAACTTCTATGTTTGGATGTACTTTGGATGTCAGGGCAATGTGCCTTTGTATTACACTTCATCAGACTCTCTGACTGTAGAAGCAGCCATACTTCTACAACTGTTCCACATCCCTACCTAAAGTAAAGCCCTAACAAGCTCAGGGGAGTTTTGCAGAGTATTCTTTGCTTTCTTTATAATTTGTGAACTGAAGGTACAGAATCATGCAATCAAACTGCATTTCTATGAATCACAGAATAAAGAGCTTTGTTGCCTAATTATTTCACTCAAACAATGAATACAAGGAAAAATATCATCTGATCTTGGCTTGTAACAATATAACATTTTTTAAAAAACAGTAACACGATGCATTTGATTAAATCCATACTTAGATTGAACCAACCTTTGATTTCATTTTTCTCCATTTCTTTCAGTGCCTGAACAAACAGAGACTGGCTCTCTGTAAGTGGCCAACTATTATACAGCACCAATGCTTGTATGACATACTTGTGAGCCTGTGAAAGAAAATGCAATATGTTAACGTACCGAAGCCGTAACAATTATAGTAAGCATTCAAAAGCCTTGTAGGTGATTAAACTGCCAGCTACTGAACTCAGCAAACAAAACACATAATTAATTTCCAAGCTTGCACATTACAGTATTCACAAGAGGCTTAAAAAATTAGTGTTAATTCCACAGATTTTATTTTAATTCCTGTGAAATTAAACAATTACTCATGTGTTTATCAAGTGAAACTAAACTGGGCTATGCAATAAGGAGCTACATTCCTTTAAGATTTCCATGTAACTTTCTTATGTATGCCATGTGCGAAAACAAAGACTTTTGTCTTTAGTTTTAAGATCTACTACAGAGCTTTGAGCCCTAACACTAGCACTCAATAATGTCTTAATTTGAGGTAGAGGTGAAAGGGTCCATAGGTTATTTTAAGCATTATCTACACTGAACAGGAAATTATTCTCTTTAAAAATTGTTTTCCAAATTCTAAAGCCAGTTCTGAGTCCAAGGAACAACCTAACATTTATTTCTCAATAATCTTCTTTTTTTTTTTTTTTAATATTTTGTTGCAATTGAGCTCAATTATCAGGAAAAATAACAGCAGAGAAACACTTGGGGATAGAGAAACAAGAACTGTTTTAGAAAACAAATGCTGTTTTTCCAAGACAGACAAATAATACTAGGTGAAGTCAAGAAAAATCACGTTTTTGACATCCCTCTCTGAGAAACTCAGCTTAGGTAGCAGCTATTGTGTGTGTTATTAAAGCGTTCAGCTGACTGGCAATAGGTGTTTCTCCATTAAAACTATTAAAGATGGCCTTTTCTTGCATCCTGTTTCAAAGAAAACTCACACTGAAGCACCAGAAGTTTAACTTCATTGCTTATAGTTTTTGGCCCTTTGCTGAAAGTTATACTATACTTGAATTTGACTTGGCAAATGAAGAACAGTTAAAGAGTGAACATATCATCTTGATTTGAAAACAAGAATTACCTCTTGTTATTTGGTTATTCATATACATAAATTATCCTTTCTCCATAGTCTCATTCAGAAGCTACCAACAATCTTAATTTTGTATTCCTTGTTCTTGCCCCAGGATATCTGATGTCCACATGTACCAAAAGAATTATCAATACCCCTTCATTGGGTTTTTTTGTTTGTTTGCTTGTTTGTTTGTTTGTTTTTTTCAAATCCCAATGATTTGGAATCTCTTACTTGTTGTGGACTTCCGTCTTTGTTTTGAAAGTTTTCCAAGAGGATAGATTCATCTTCTAATATAGGTGGTCCTTCCTGTACAAGTCCTGGCTTGAAAGAAGTTTTGGTGTCCTTTGAAGATGAAACTTGACCCCTTTTTTTTGATCCTCCAGTTTCTGATTCCTTCTTTGTACTACTTTGAATAATCTGGGTTTTGCTTGCTGCAAGATGATGAAAAATGTCAGTGTTAATTTCAAGAAATTCCATGAATTATTGGCATGAGGTAAACAGATGCATCCAGAAAACTATAAGAAGAATTATCATAGTCAATTTTCTTATGCTGTATTTTGCTCACAAGTTTCCAATTAAAATTATGCTTACTCCAAAGACTATACTGATTTCATTCTGCATGCAAATCACAAATCTTTTCAAAGTAAATAATGAGAAATTTGAAAGACTGTATATATAATTATTGTGACTGTTTATAAAGCATATAATTTTTCCTCCCAAACCCCACACTTCTTTCCTGTGCTAACCACCTCAGCACCAGGCTATAAAGGACATAATACAGATTGCATTCTACTCTGTATGATAGGGAAGGAGAGGAGAGGTGCATTGGTCACAACTCTGGCAACTCTTACCCTTACAGAAATCTCTTATGTCAACCTGAACACAAAGATCATAGCTGACTGAATTTTAGAAAAAAAACAATCTGTAAAAAAAAAAAAAAAAATTTGTAAAGTTATCATTGTCTCCTAAAGAAGGAATTAATGTGGAAAAACTGTGAAACCAGGAATGTGCTAAAGAAGGGCTGTAACAGAAGTATTAATCCAGAAAACGTAAACTTGTGTTCATTTCTAATGCCACTAAAATCTATGATATTTTCTTGCTTGAGTGTCTACAGAGATAGGAAAATGGAACATCTCATAGAAAATTGAATAAGGGCAAAAATAACACCTCTGGGGAAGCAGCTTCACCTGTGTTACACTAACAATAGTTGGACCATTAACTGAGAAAGAGATATCTTTTTGACTTCACTGAGGACAGAAGGCTTTACTCTTCCCAAGGTTTACTGTAGAAGCGAAGGATGATACTGTATCATTGCAACACTTCAACAGAAAAACATACAGAGTTTCATGTGTGTTGACAAAACATCTAGGCAAGTTCACAGGAGTTGACAGGACTATTAGACCAGATTCAGCAAAATTCCCTGGTGGTGTGTCAGTGTATAAATGCCAAATAAAAGTTTAAGTGTGCCACTAGAAACTCAAAGGGAGCCAGGAAATATTGTTTCTTATGGAAGTCAAATGCCACAGATCACTTGTTATCGCATCTTTCCTCTGCATAAGGCAGTGCTTCCTTTTTCCTAAGAAAATCAGTAGAAGTCAGGAAATGAAAGTAAGACCTTGCAGAGATGCTTTCTTCAAGATGTCTCAAGCACCTAATCACAAGATATGAGTTGCTCTTCTGCATGGCATTCACAATCTTTAGCACCTGAGGTATTCCCCTTGCTGTCCCCAGGGTAAGGAAGCCTGTGAGAGAAACCTGAAGGAAGACAATGTTTGGTTTCTTCTAACCCAATTATTAGATTGAAGCAATTCCATGGGTGTTGTTTTGTAAAAGATATGCCTAAGCAAGCCTGTATCTGTGGAAAAGTTTCTCACTTAAATAGAGCCTGCTGAGCTTTCCAGGTATCAGTTAGCTTCCCACACTGTGATGGTGAGAGGAGACATAGTGGTTAGAATACCAAGTCTTTCATCACAGGGAACCTAAATCATGGGGCTTTCACTCAACAGAAGTGCATTTGGATGAAGAAAACACATTATCCAGAGACCAGAATCTTGCATGTTCTTTTACATCTTTGTGAAAACCTGCTGCAAAGAAAGAATTTGGATTCCAAACAGAAGAATAACTCTACATACAGACATTTTCCAATTGACTAACTTTCCTTCAGGGTACCATTTGCAATATTTCTGTGAAAGTTCACAGTCAGGAAGGATATTCAACGCCTGCCTGAGCACTGTTATCAAGGGACAGTGAAAATAATTTACAAAAAGGTATATTTAAAGCAGTGATGCCAAATAAATGTACTCCCTTTTGTAGTCAACAGAGAGGTGAGTTCCTCTCCAGGAGGTCCAGTGTCTCAGCTTTAGGAGCTTTAGGAGTTGTGCACTACCCTCTGAAGGAGCCGCGAAGGGTTTCACGGGAGGTTGTATTCCTTAGGCTATAATTAGCTTTCATGAATGCCTCACTATCTTCCTCTTTCTCCTAAACCTGAGGAGCTTAAGTATGGAAAAATTCTCTAATGGTTTTCCCAGAGGATGATCCTGCCATGAAGATAACTCAGCACAGAGTGGTGGAATCCCCCATAAGACTCATTCTGCTTTCCTTGCTGGAAAGATGACTTGGAAAAGTTCCCAAAAATGAATACACGTCCAAAATAATAGTTCTAGCAATTGTCACTAGGTGGTGCTGTGACACCAGATTAGTTACTACATACCTACTGTCTTGTTTTCCGAAGAAAACTGACTAGGCTCTGACTGGAAGGAACTCCTACTTACCTCGATTCCAGATTCAAACAAATATCTGAACAAGATTTTGATACTTTCAGGCTGGATTGTATCAGACTGCTACTATGAAAAATAAAGGGATTATGAGCATTCCCTTGCCCATCTGTGCTTACAGAACTGCTGTGCTTATATCAACAAAACAAGTTGTGCTTGCAACGTGTCAATATATACCTCCTTTATTGGCAAGAGAATGTTCAAGGTCCAAGTCATCTGCTACATCTCAGATGAGGTAAATGTATTCCAAATCAATGTAGTTTTTGAGCTGTAAGACATTTCTAAAGCAGCTGTGACTGGAGAGGAATTAACAGGTTGTGGGTAGGAAAGGAGTATAACATTTTATTGGTGATGCTGGCACAATAATGTCACTTAAGAGTACTGGCAACACAGTGATCAATTCTATGAGAGGCAGAACATGTGTGATACTGAATAGGTCTCAAATATGACGATTGTGTCTTGCCTAACTAACAAGTTTGGTGCTGATGATACAGCAGTGGTTTTTATTATTCCTCTTCTGTGAAAAAACTTATTTTTAGACAACAACTAGATATTGACAGTATGAATCTTGTTGAATTCAGTGTCAATTGTACAAATCCTCACCTGAACTTGGCATCAGTACTTATGGAGGTTCCTATATTGTACAGGCCAATTTGAGGGCAGATTCAGACTAGATATGAGAAGAAATGTTTACAATGAGGGTGGTGAAACACTGGAACAGACTGCCCAGAGAGGTGGTAGATGCCCCACCCCTGGAAACATTCAAGGTCAGGTTGTACGGGGCTCTGAGCAACGCGATCTAGTTGAAGATGTCCCTGCTCATTGCAGCGGGGTTAGACTAGGTAATCATTAAAAGCCCCTTCCAACCTAAACTATTGTATGATTCTATAATTTCCTAACACTTTTGACAGTAGCAAAGAAACATACTTTTACAATGCCATAAATTGCACCTACAGACAACCAGCAGGTTGGGTAATATGATACCGCCATGTTGGTTATACTGAGTACATTTCATAATCTTTTCTTTTAATTTGGATGCTCTGAAGGATTTGAAACACACAAAATGTCTTCTTTGTGATAGACAAGATGCATATATATAGGAAAAGAACTTCAACATCAAGGCCACTTGGTCTAGTATTGTAAAAATAATAGTAATAGTAAAAAACCAACAAACAGTGACAGATTCACAGTCATTCCTTCCAAATGACAGCTCTCTATACACTCACAAACACTTAAATGGCATCAGAATATTCATTTCACCTTCAAATACAGTCTAAAATAATAACTTTTTTTTTTATAGGCTCCACTGGTGAATACGAACTTGATACGACAACCTTCCTCTTTTCAATCAGGTCAATATAAGTCCTAGTTTGAGGACAGATATTTCATTGAATGATTCACAATGGATTACAATTATTTTAACTTAGCAGAAATTATTTGTATCATTGCACATAAGAATTAGAGCCTAATGTATGTGTCTGATTTCTGAGGATATTTTGTAGAGTTGTTCTCACCTATGCCCCCTGCTAGTCTGGCAAATACAAAATGTCCCTCTTATTATTCTGCCTTATCCTCTCCCTTCCAGCATGTGTTAGAACACATTTCTCTTCTCTTTCACCTGATTGTGCCTTTTAACTTAGTTCAGTCTTCAGACTATGATCTTTGCCAACAAGATGGTTTCCTCAAAGAAAGTTTTTCCTTAACTGTACTGAGAGTAACTTGGCAATTTATTTTAAGTATTGTGATGCTGACCCTAATCTCAGTTATTTTACAGCTTTTCTGCTTCTGTTTCCACCAGTCTACTACTAAGTTCACTAATCTGTTACCACATTCCAAAACTAGTTACCAAATATAGCTACTGATTAACCTGGTAACTCAGGCAGAATCATGACACCTTCTCCATGACTTCCTTTAAAACCATAACATGGTCATCTGATGAATTAGGCTTCAAAAGCATGGTCTCCATAGTATTGGATTTTACATTTCTGGTAATAACAAGGTGCAGTTGAGACAGAAATCCACATGTTTCATAAACATGATTACATTAGTTATTTTTCCCACACAGCACTGGAAATTCAGGTAAAACTTTTTTCTAAAGGATCACATTAGAAAACTAAATAGTTCAAAATAGTGGAGTTGAGCATATGAAATATGATGCTATTTTGGGCTTTAGCAAAGCAATAATCCAGTATTTGAACAATTTGTCTTTGCCTCAGGTTCTGCATATGCTCAAACTGGCAGAAACTGACTTGATTTACAGAAGACTTATTGTTTAAAAGTCTTCATAAAACGACTGAAGATTTCAGTATCTTACAACATTGATGTATAGTGGTGTCCACAGAGAGCAGAGTAGCTGAGTTGTTTGCTTATAAACAACTGCTTTACTTAAGCAAACTTGTAATATTTATGAAGAATATAATTTTCAGAAATAAACACATAAATATAATGAAAAACACAAAATAGTATACGATCTTACAAATAAAATGGAAATAGCTTGATTAAGAAGTGAAGTGTATAGAAATCAGGGGAACAAATGAAGGTTATGAAAGAAGTTAAGATGGCACAGCAGTAGCATCTAAAATCTATTACATATAAGAAGTGTAGCGGAAACATGCAGATGGTATTTTATTTTTGTTAAAAATTACCTGAGCGCTACAGGGACAATTGTTGAAAATATGCCTAAGAACCTCATTCAGCTGTATTTATTGTTTCTGAACAGTAAAATTAAACAGCACTTCAAAATCAAATGTCAATCAACTGGCCAAGAGTACTTTCAGATTACAAAATTTTCATTCCAGTTTTGTCTTAGCTTCTTTAGTTGCCCAGCCCCAGTTTTATCCAACAATAAAGATGCCACTAGCAAACAGCTAATATTGTCTGATGGTAGCTCTTGAGTACTGAGTTTGGCAGAACTCAAACTCCTGAAAGCCTGGAAGTGAAGCACAGAAGAGGATGTCTGGATAACCTAACTCTGCCCTCGACAGAGTGCAGGAAGTTATCGCACTACATCAGGGGGGAAAGATGGCAGAGCATCGCCATGATCTCAAGCTGAAGGCTCTCTCTATTAAGTCCGGTTGTACATGAATACCTGTTTAGTTGGACAGCACATCCAAAGGAACTGGATTATTTGTGTATCATTAAGAAAAAAAACCAAAAACATACCATAAGCCTTAACTACCAACTGATAGCACAGATCACACGAGGCTGAGTGGTCCTGGCAGAGGCTGGAAGACACCTCTGGAGATCCTTTAGTTCAACACCATTGCAAAAAGCAAGGTCAGCTTGGGCAGGTTGCTCATGGCCACATCTAGTTGGGTTTTGATTATCTCCAAGGATGAAAACCCCTAAACCTCTCTGGGCAACCTCTTCCAATGTTTGACACCCTGAGAGCAAAAATGAAACAAACCAAAACACAAACACAAACAAAATGCCTCCTCCAAATGACCCGTTCTAATGCTTAAATTGTATTTTCTATATTTCAGTTTTTGCCTATTGCCTCTTCTCTGGTTACTGGGCACCACTGAAAAGAGTTTTTCTTCATTTTCTTTACCTCCCTGCCCCTTCCCCCAGTATTTATATGCTCCCAGGCTTGAGCATACAGTAGATTCAAAGTAGTAGTTTGCTGGACTACCGAGAGTCAGTTTTAATTGATGCCAGCTGGACTTCTGTTAGCTGCAATCACTAGTTTCAAAGTACTTTCAGAAAATACATGAATTTTAGCATACTTATGAAAGGTGACCTTTGAACACGTATACTGGTTCTCACCTTTAACGAGAGCTGAGCTGACAAGACTGCAATATAATGAATAGCAAGAATTAGTTTTTTTTAAAAAGGAAAATTAATTTTGAGTGAGTAAACTTCTCAGATTCAACTGTTCAGCCAAAAAATAAATGAGGTGTTTTCTGAAACTTTCAAATACATTTGTCTCAAAAGAAATTTTGTTTAAATTCACGTATTCTCATATGGGATAAATTTTCTCTGTATTTCAGTTACTATAATAAAGAATTGACAATAGCATAATGGGCATTTATGAGCTTTGCAAGTCTGGGGCAAGTAGCGCTTCTTTCAGTGTCTTCTATTTCCATTAATATCATTCTGAAGCTGTAGCAGAGGCAGAGTCAAAAATGGAGAGTTTTTCTTAAAGATAAATACCATGTCGTTTATTCAAGAGTCTTTTGCCTTGTACTCTGGAGCTCATATGATTGATAAGAAGCCAATAAAACATGTGCTTTTGCTAAAAGGAGTGATGCTCAAGCTGGTGCATTTAAACCATAAGGCTCAGTGTAATCTATAAATTATTTACCATGCCCCATGTTCTGGGCTTCAGCTTCCTAACAGCCAAAATTTTTTAAATTTTAATATCAAACAAATAAAGGCAAGATCTTGAAAATAAAACATATTTCAATTCTCAAGGACAAGACAAGCACTTATATAAAATTTTCAGAACTGAGAAGCTACTTATCCACAAAAATCTTTACTCAGAAAACAAGACGAAAAGGCAGAGGAAGAAAATAAGGCTGAACATCTTATTTCAATCAATTCTTTTGGTACCTTTCCTCATTGCTGAGGACCAAAAAGTCCTGTTCATTGCTTAAAAATGTAGCTGATTTCACTCAATCACAAAGCAATTATGTATTCATGGAAAAAGTAGGAAAAATAGTATTTTCTGCGATTATCTAAAGTTACGGTAAGAATGTATATCAGTGAATAAAATGATCAAATACAGAATACTTACAGTGGGAACTCGAAAGTGTTTCATTACTCAAGAAATTAAAAACAGGGATGACTGCATGGCCCTTTCCAGTGACACTCACAATTTCTTCCTCATTATCTAGGACTTGTAGTTTAATGAACACATCTGATTTAGAGGTTTGTGCCTGAACTGTAGCAATATGTGATGCTGTGACTTTTACTGAATACCTAAAGAGGAAGAAAAAAATTATAGCAATATAACCAACTATGCCAGATGATTCTTTTTTAGGAAAGTACCTAAATGTTGTGCTGACCTGGAAACAAACACTTAAAATTGAGTTTGTAGTCAATGGTCTTCCTGCAAACTGACGGGCTAAGCTTCCTGTAGTGAAATTTAGTGCAGTGAAGCTATGATCAAAGTAACTGCTTCTGCAAAAAAAAGCAGTGGTCTTGACATTTCTTTTTTTCACTGCCTTAACAAATGCCTAGATGTACATTTTCCCTCCTGCTATACTAGTATTTGTTGAAAAACATGGTTAGCCAGATGAGGGAACTCTTTCAATTAAAAAGTAACCAAGCAAAATTAAAAAAAAGAAAGATTTGCTTTCAAAAGAATTATCTCATCTGATAGCAGTGGCTACTTTGGAACTTAAAAGACTGTGGAATTAAAAGACTGTAGAATTAGAGTCTTAGGATGGAATTTAAATAACATTTTTTGTGCAACTCATAACTTATGTTATTTGTTTTTTGTCCATAAATTCAATTTTTTTAAAAGATTGGCAACACCAGAGAGGGAAAAAAAAAAACCCAACAAACTCATCAAGAGAGAGTTTACAGAATTTGAGTGCATTTTTTATATTTCCATTACATGCTTTCTTCAGTTATATTGAACAGGATTTCTCTTGATACAAATTGTCAGGAATCAAGGCAAAATTTTTTAGAATTAACCTTTAAAATGTATACATGTAATCAGCTCTAAGCACTGGGCCTGTTTTAGTGCAGTGTGTAGTCCTTTGTGTAAAATCTTAAGCATAGCGATTTAGGAAGGGTCAGTTCTGAACTCAAACTTTACTAGAATAAACTGATTTTAATAAACTTTAATCAATTAAAAAAGGATTAATACAAATTAAATAATCACATTTTTATTAAATATGTTCTCCTGAAAGAATCAGCATGCTAAAATGAAATGTATATAAATTTTTCTGCCAACACTGCAAGATGGAAATTGGTCCGATTTATCAGAAAAGAAAGTGTTGTAATTCTGCATTTTATTTAAAGCTTTATCTGAATAGCTGAAAAAAATTATCAAACTTTATGTCTCCTCCCCACCTACAAAATCCCAATTTTAATACATATTTAATCCCCAAAAGTATTACGGAATTTCAGTAATTGACATAGGATTAAGATTTCAAGACCAAGCCTACAGAAATGCAAAATACTGTTATTACAATTTTAAAGTTATAGTCTGTGTACTTCACACCTGTTCTTCATTAAGCAGTGACGATATTTCAGAAAATAACGCTTTCATAAATGGAACATTAAATTTGGTATTGCACATTGATGGCCCATAAAATTCAGATATTTGCTTTAATACTTTCCCCTTCTAAGAAAGAGGAAATAACATAATTTTCTGCCAGAGATGGTCCATATGAAAACAAGAATTTAATAATTCTTCTCTCAATATTTACCTGAACATTATGTGCTTGTCATTGGGTATGTAATACTCTTTAATTTCTTTAGTAGAATACACATTATTTACAGCCTCACGAGAGAGAAATGGGAGTGGACTATGAGAACCAATGAGCCGGAGCCTCCATCTTCCACTTGCCACAGGTAGGTCACCAGTACGTGCTTCAGCCATAAATGTGTATCCTTTCTGAAAGAAGAAAACAAGTAATTTTCACTTGGAAATTACACTACTCAAAATGAACTCTATGACTACATGCAACACACTTTTTGTCCATGTTAGATAAGTAATGAGATGTCCTTCATAAGGCAACAGGACTATATAGTTCCTATAGTTCCTATAGAACTATATAGTTCAATTATAGTCTAACTTATGACGCATCTCATATTACAGGAATTTATATTTGGGAAAAATTTACATATAAGTCAAATCCAATCTCATCTAACTTCAAAGTTGACCTTATTTTTAAGGGCAGATACAATCAAACTCCTGAGGTCACCTTCTAATCGAATTATTTTATGATTCTAAGTTGTTTAATAAATTCTAATATAACAAATATTAATGATTTCTTACTCTTTTATTTAAACATATGCAGCACCCTAGTCTGAAAAGTCTTCTTATGACATAACTAAAGTTCAATAAAACATATTTATTCAATGTATTTTCTTGCTTTGTACATCATACTACCGTGCAAATAGCTCCCAGATAAAACACATCTACACATCTCCGGGTTCTGTAATATTACCATTCTTTTTCTTGTAAAATCATTAGCATTAGTATCAATCGAAGTCTTTTCATTTGGTACAAAATATTTTTCCCTCTTGATATCTGACCAAAACTATATGTGCTGGTGGTGGTGATAGTAGTAGTAGTAGTAGATGACATAGAGTTAATGACTGCATAAGCCAAGAACTTTCACTCCAAGCTCTGAGGCAATCACATCAAACTTCTGCTCTACTCTTGCTGGGAAACATCTGGCCTCTATGCCGGATGTAAGAACGATGTGTATTGTAAAGAGGTGATGTATTTGAAAACTGCACAACAATTTTGAGATTATAGATACTTTTAACTCCAAAGGTGACCACAGCTGAAGATAAGGAAACGAATATTTTGGCAATTCATGCACAAGACATTTAGCAAAAGCTAGCAGTCCTCATACATATGAAAGCAAAATTAGATAAAGATAAAATGTAAACATGACAATAACTGCATTCACTGACAAACCAGAGATTTAAAACTGTCCCTTTGTGCTGTAGCCACTGAGAAACTATGGGTGAATGCAATTTGCTGCATGGAAATTTAGAGATCAGATTCATTATGTCTTCAAATCTGAGGTTAAATTAATATTGTCCCTAATTCTAATAATGTCATTGCAAGTATAGCATTAAATGTCAGGATATTAATCTTATTTTTATGAAGATGTTGATTTACAGAAAAATATTTCTAGTATTAGAAAAATCAAATAAAAATTAATTAAAAATGCAACACAGTTAATAAGCCTGATGCAGATTTATCTGCTCTTTATGAATCCTGAGAAGAGTAATATGGGAAACCAGAGTATAATTTAAAAGGTTTCAAAAATTTATTTTGCATTTGAAAAAAGCAGGCAATATGAATGTGATTACTTCAAAGGCAGGGGCAGGAAAAAAGGATATAATGAGTGCGATGGCCAATTGCAATGTAACAGGGGAACTCAGGATTAAGTACTTCAGATTCTCCGAACTAGCCCTACCAACTTGCTATTTCAAACATTAAAATTTCATGTTCCACCCAAGAAATAGTCCAGGTGAAAATTCTTTGAAAGGTTTTCTCTCTTCACAGTCTTCTGCTAAATTTTAGTTGAAAGAAATTAGTATTTACCAGTAAAAAAACTTTGCTAAAAAATTCTTGTAATAAATAGGGTTGTGATTTCAGGACTATCCAATAATGCAGGGTTGTGACTTCAGGACTACTGAATATTTAGAATGAAAATAAAAGAAATGATTCATGATTCCAATTTGTGCAATTGTAACTGTAAGACACTTTACACTCTTTAATCACGACAAGGGAATAGCAACCATTCAAAGCTGTGATTCAGGAGAACTCACTTATTTAAATATCTGTTTAAGCATATAGTTAAAGTCCTCCCTGTTCTTAACAAGTACACTTGGAAACCAAGAGGATTTTAGCCAAATATTCAAGTGCTTTCTGACACCATGGTGCACATGAGAAAAATACTTTCTGTTTTATACCTATTTATAATGATAAGATTATGCAATCTTAATGTTCACTATAAATATGCAGAAAATCTACTTAAGATCTGGTATCTCGTAGGAACACACAGTAATCATCAGTCAGTAAAATACATAAATAAATCTGGAAAACCCCATCAGATTTATGTCTCTCTTAAAAACCTTTGAGAGGTTTCATTACCTACTAAGATATCTTGTTACAATTAACAATCTCTAGAATCAGAAAGGGTTGTTTTCTAATATACCACCTAAACTAACTTTCTCGTAAAGTAAGATGATTTCCTTATGTCCTTCTATGACTAGTCAAGAAAATAACCGATCAGTGTCCTTGCTCATATAGGCTTCTATTTTCTAGACTAAATATGGCATTAATGATGATTTCTTAATCTCTTATCTTTGTTGGTCAGCTGAAGCTTGTGGAATGTTTATCTCTATCCTTTCCTACAATCTGTTCAAAAGACTTTTGAATAATAGATTAGAATTAAAAAAAAAAGAAAAAAAAAACAAAACCAACTGTATCCAGCAGTAGAAAACATTACCATGGAAGAAGAAAATTTAATGCAAATAAATTCCAAACAATGCAAAGAAAGTAGCTAGTTTCTACCTAGACTGTAATGTCTGCAGAGACATTATTGCTTGTGTGCAGATTTTGTCCTCATTGTCAATCATTTAGAAATGAACTACAATATGTGCTGGAAGTGTCTGTGCAGCAGAATAACAATTATCTGTTGATAGGACTTCTTTTTAGCTCTGTTGTAAATTGCCGATTTGTAGTTTTGAAGCAGAACAGCTAACTAGTAGGTATACTATAAAGAAATAAAAAAAAAAAAAAGACAGGACTTTTTCTGTATTAATATTGACATTTAGGAATTCAGGCATACTGTATAATTTCTTGCTTGATGTATTACATCATTGACTATTTTTTACAAAATACTGTTAAAAAGAAAGGTAACAGATTAAAATAATCCCACTGTATTCTGTGTTTCATAATAATTGCATAATGTCTTGTCAAAACATCAGTAGGGCTTCCAATAGCTTTTGCACGTCCACTGAAACATTAAGGAGTCAGTTACAAATAGGAAGAAAAGAAGCTCAATTGTACAGTATAAGGTTATATTTTTACTGAGAAACTCAGTAGCAGTGATTAAGAAATGTGATAAGAAGAAGTAGGAAAATACAGCATGCCTACACAATTCTGTTTTAATACTTTTAAACCAAAATTACTCTTTAGTAACATTAACCACGTTTAATATTTTAAAATGTAAGTCACGAGTTTAGAAAATAATAACAAATTAGTCTGCTTTAAGAGAGGACTTCTTCATTAAGGAAGGACAGAAATAAAATAAAAAGGGCCATTTTTATTAGTTAATGACAGAATCACTGAGACTATTGTGCTGTACTCATGAAAAAAAAAAAGATTACCATGGAATGTACCAGGTGGGTTATCACCTAGCAAAACAAGCATTTTCAATATTAAAACCACTGCACTGCACAAAGTGTTGGTAAGATCTTACCTGGAATATTTTAGACATCTTTATTCAAGAAAGATATGTTAAATGGGAGGAGGTCTGAGAAAGAATTAGTAAAATCAAGGAAATGGAAAACCTGCCTTACAAGACAGAACTAGACAGTTGTATCCTGGTAAGCAGGACAAATGATGAGAAGAGATCTGAAATAAATCTGAAGTTGTGACTGTTCTTTCCACAATCCAATCACCTTACGGAAAAACAGTTAAGTAGTGTTCACCATTGAGATTTCTTTTTGCATCCTGCCGCTTGCCACTGTTGGATTCCAAACTGAATTTTCTTGACTGGTGGAATCCACATCCAATCTCTGAGGATCCCAAATTAGTTTTGAGAGCTTGAAGAGCTTGTCTGCAACCCTTCTTTTTGAAGCATATTCCTCCAGCAGTAGCAGTCCTTATCTGTCACATTCAGCTAATATTCACTATAAACACTAGATAAGGCAAGTTCATTCTACTGCAAAAACAAAGTCTGATGACATTGGAAGTTACAAAAGAAAGACAAGAAAACTACTCCTACAGTGTTAGACTGTAATGGACATCAATTCCTTGTTAATGACAGATGAGACTGAGAAGGCTAAACTGTGAACCTAAAAGGTCAACTGTGAACATATGATTAGAATAGTTAATATTAATGGTAATATTAAAGAGGTAAGAGGCAGGCCAGAATAGGAAAAGAGTAGTAAATTATTATCTAGATAAATTAAACTTTTGGATTAGTTAGGTCTGATGAACTTCTGAATTGTTTGAAGGGTAATTCAATAACAAGTTAAAACAATCACAAAACTTTTAAATTATGTTTGATAACTGATGGAGGACACGTAAGGTACTGGAAAACTACAGAACTGCAATGTTCTATTTTTTTTTTCAGATGGGCAAAGTTATCTAGGAAATTATCAGTCAACATAACTCCAATGGCTGAAAACATAATTAAATACCTAATAAAATGAACTCCTTGCAACTCTCTCTACATAGCAAAGAGACTGCAGAACCCAACTCCTATCAAACCAATCAAGCTTCCTTGTATAGGAAAGCACACTATGGGAATGAAGGATACCTGACACTGTCTCTCTGACCATTCTTCTAAACCTAAGGAAATGCTGCCATAATGAAGAAACTAGGGTCCTGGCTGCTGGACAATCACATCCAGAAAGCACATATTTATGGCTCCTTTTGGAAGAGTAGGATGCAGCCAGTGAGATTTCAAAGACCTAACCTGAACCTGATTCCATTCAATATTTTTATTAGTAATGTGGATGGTGGAATGGAGAACATATATGTTTAATTAGCTGATACCACAAAGAAGGATTGTAACTTTAGAGGAAGAGAAAAAAATAATTCAAGATTATTTTAAGCTAGGGAAATGGTCTGAAAAAATAGCATTACAATTGGTAGTGAAATACACTCTATTTAGTCAAGATTAATAAACTACAGGATTCAGTTCTTCAGGAAAGCACCGAAGGCTACAGAAGTACGAGTCAAAAATGGTGTTGCAAAATAGGGCAAACATCACAGTTGGCTATATAAGCAGAAGTAAAGCCCAGAAGACACGTAAACTAATTGGTCCTTACTCATCATTTGTATGGCCACAAGTTAATCCTTGGTGCAAAGTTTACTGTGCTCAGTGTTGTGCATGATAAACAAGAAAAACCCAACAGCAATTGGAAAGAGTCCAGAGGAGACAGTAATCAAGAGCGTAGAACACGTAACTTGCAAGGAAAGACTGAGCAAACTGTCTTCTTTAGCCTAAAGATGAAAAGGCAGGAGGAGGGGAAGCTGTGATAATTGTTTAATAATATAGGGGTTTTTTAGAAGCAATTTACAGTAATGCTTCTGAGGTAACATACAGGCTTTGAGGGGGGGCATATCTAAAGCTGTATCTGGCATCAATGCTGCAATTATCATTAGCACCTGAGGACGCATGTTAATTTAATTATTGTAAGCATGACATGTAAAGGCTATTTAAATGTCATTCTTAGTCTGGCCTCTGACTCTTGAAGGTTGTTCTGTCAGATAGATAGCATCAACTGCAACCATATTGCCATTGATCAGCCCAGCACAGAGAAGCTGGATAATAATCCTCCATTTAAAGATAGTAAAAAAATATCAAAGACATCAAGGCTTTGCCTTCACTGTTTAAGGTTAAGCACAGAAGCAGATTAGTGATAGACTGCTCAAACTTGCTAATAAATAAGGGGGCATTTCTAAGCAGAACATTATGACATAGCTGAAAATGTCCACAGAATATAGGCAAATGTTATTATTTTTAAAATTATACTTTTCATAACCAGTCTTTGGATTTACCTTATTTTTCACATAAACATGAGGTGTCACTTTGAAAAAGACATGTGGCATTTCCTCCAGTGTGTCATTATCAATGACGTGAAGTCTACAGGAAGGGATAGTGGTATACACCTTTGGCACTATAAGCATGTCTTCTGGAACAAGAAATATTTCTCTAGAAAAAAAAAGAAAAGTTCAAATTATATTAAAATTATTTTCACAAATAAAATTATTTGTGTAACATGAAGTTAAAGTATACATTAGAATTTAAGGAAAGTAGACATATGTAAAATTATGTTTTGAAAGCAGGTTAATGAAAAACCACAGTTTATTGATACTACTTCCCCATAAGAGTTATATAGGGCTGCACAAAACTCACCTAAAAACCACAAACCACACATTTGGTGGCTGATCAGCATATGTCACAGCATAGTCAGCGAAAGACATCTTACACCATTCATCTTCATAGCAAGGAAACTTTTCAATTGACTTACAGTTTCTTTTAAACATTTCTCTAGCAAGCAGAAAACAAGATAAATATTTAAATCTAATCACGAGGGCACATATATCTTGACTTTATGCTTATCATGAAGAACACTGCTTCATGCATGAGTATAAAACAATGATATAAAATGTGTTACTCATGTTTCTCTAGTAGCTGTTCACTCTCAAAAAATACTCAATCACGTAGGGATCAGCTCTTTTAGAGCTAATGGCCTGTAATGACCAATAATCACATACAAATATTTGTATCAGTCTATCCATGAGAACAACCGCTTCTAATAGCCCAAAATGTTACGTCTTCTACAAAATCTTACTTTTTTTTTTTTTTTAAATAAATCTCAGTTAGCATAACTTCCATTTCTTTATATTAAGCTGTCATCTTAAAGCTGTGGCATCATTAGGACATTAAAAAACCTTTTAAAACTTTTTGGAACAAGAAAGGAATAAAAGCAAAACCACATAAATTTAAAATGGGATTAAAGACATTCCTTTCACACAGGAAGGAGCCTAAGACTGTAAATTCAACAGTTATTTGTAAGGCAAACAAGCTCTCGAGTGTTATGAAGATCTGTAAGATTAGAGCGAACCTCACTAGCACCTAATTGACACCAGGAATTTTTATTTATTATATGCAGCATCAAAAATTAATGTTCCTCTGGACAAAGCAATGTGAAGACCAGCATAAAAAATTCACTGTTATGTGAAAAGGTAATTTGGTAAAGGCCAGAAGAAAGATAATAGCTCTCATTCCATCTTTTGTCTCCTTTCAGTGGTTTTCTCTGGAGACTACGAGTGAGAATATGCCTACATAGAGGTGAAGGGTATCTTTCTCCCCCCCCACTCCCTCTGTTTTGCATTATTCTTTAACTACCTGCTGTCTGCAGTAAGTAAACAATGTATCTTTTTTGCTAACTTTCAATTGCTCTACTTCAAAGTTTGGTTTATATGGCTTACATAAAGGGGGTAGCATAAGGGAACCTCACAACATCCTTTTTTGGTGATATGTGTCTTTTCTGTGTCAAATATGATCGTGTTCAAGTTGCTCAATGGCAAAAGTTTTATCCACAAAATCTGGACAATGCTATGCTGACGTTTTGTTATTCCTAGATAGTAACTGGAATTACAAAAACAATCTCCAAATTCATGGTTTTAGCAATGATAACAGTTGACCTTAACATTTGTGAGTCATAGAGTGGATGCAAATATTGCCAAAAGTAATTTAAAGCAGAACAGTTTGAGATCTTAGTCCATGAAGCTTTGCAAAGGTTCCTTTGACCACTGATAGACAGTGCACACACAGATAGAAAAAGCCCCTCAGAAACCTCAAGTTTTGAATTAATTGAAAATTATAGCAGGGACAAACATAGATAAGATTACCTGGGATGTCTAATGGGATACAGGTGGCAACCCTAGCACAATATGAAAGGTTTTAGGGCACTTTAAACTGGTGTTTGTGTTGTAAAATGCTACTGCTTCTGGCCTCCAGTTAGTCTGGGGTTAGAGAATGGGAAAACTTTTACCCTAATACAAAACTTTCAAAATTCCTGCATGTTACTTTATTGGTCAAGGTGCTAGCTTGTTATATTAAGTAAGTTTGTCAGTTATTAGTAAGTTTGTCAGCTGTTAAAAAAAAAATCAAACAAAATCACATTAGTATGATTTCAACACTCAAATGTATCCCCTGGGACAATGCCTAAGAATCAGTCCCATAAGTTTTAAAAGTCCGAATGTAGACTGAAAACCGCATCTGATCTTTGCTGATTTAGAGACACTGCAAATGTAAAACCAAGGTATAACATTTGGTACAGGTCTGTGGTTGCAAAGTCCTGACCCCATCGACATATGAATCTTTTACAAGATTAGAAACACTAAAAAGTGAAATAAAATTATACCCCACATGAGTGTTCCTCAAACTGCTGGTTATAAGGGGTGAGGATTTATACCCACAGCCAGTAATTATTGCCAGTTCTCACTCCTCACCCCTGGCAGAACAGATCCACTGCTAGGTCAGTTATGTGAACACTTACAGAAAGATTTTTGAAGGACTTGATGAAAATACATGATCCCCAAAGAGTGTCATGCTTGCAAATGACTTAAAGAACACTATTGAAATTAGAATAGCTATCTTTGCAAAGGCTGTAATTAAATACCGGGGAAACCATCTACCTAGAAATACATCTACTTTCCTTCAAGCAAGTACTACAAACAAATCCTTTGATGATACAAACTGTGGTATAATTAAATAGTATAGCTATCTTCTTTCTAATGTCAACTAGGATTCTTTAATGGATAGTATGAATCAACATGCTGTTTTAAATCAACTGGTTAGTTGTTTAACTAAGGAATCAGTATCAGATTTATACTTATGAACGGTATATAATATATATATTTTAATATCTTATATATTATATAAGATATTAAAAAAATAAATACAGGAGAAAGGTAATATTCTAGCTCAAGCTGTAGGAAAAAACCTGTAACACATAGCTAAAAATTAGATTTGATATAGTTTTACTCATGTAGGGTATATAGAATAAAGCATAGCCTATCTTCACTAAAAACATGTCATCCCTTCCAAGACAGTTTTGTAGTTTTAAAACTAGTAATGTTTTTACCATATTTATTTTGTGAACCAGCAATTTATGACAATTCTATGATAATGGCTGCAATAAAATAGTTAAATTTACTCCATGATTACCTTAACAGCATTACAGCACACTGTTCAAAATTTAATTCAATTGCACTCCACAATTTTTGCAAGGTTTCTTTGACGCTACTGTTTTCTTTAGTACCTGGAAATAATAAAATAAGTTAGGAAACATAACATCTAACTTTTGTATTGTTCCAAATATACACCTGCCAATTACTTGTGAAAAAAGCCACTTGCACAAGTAAATTGTCTTATGAATCGTTAATTTTTATTTGGAATTTTACAGAAGTTTTACTGAGCTGAAAACTAATTTCTCCTTTGACAGAGGAAATTCCCTTCATCATCACTTTTGTACTGTCAGCACTCCCGCAACTGCAAAAATGATGTGATCAATATTTTCTCTGATTTATAGTTTTTCCACTTTAACATGTTGTAGTGATACGAGGTGATCTCTGTCCTTGGAGAATACACTGTTTAGTCCCCAGCAGCTTTTATTTGCAGATACTACGAAGGGATAGGTATGTACCTACACAATCTGTGTAGTCAAAAAGAAAAGAATCCAGCAGCTCTAGTGGGTTACCCTACCCATGTTTGATACCTCTCGGATGACACGATATGTTGCCATATCAAAGTGTCTACTTCTATCCACAGAATACAGATGAAGACTAGGCAATTAGTTTAGACCTGTTGTCTTACTTTTCAAGACTAAAGTTTAGGTGAAATCTTTCTTTATTGCATAAGCAATTAGTGACAGAAATGGAGGGGGAAAACTGAAAAAAAGAGAGGGAGGAGTAATAACACTTTACTGAAATGACAAGTAAGAGAGAAAAAATTCTAGATAATGGGGGAAAGGAGGAGAACAACAGTATGACTGGGGGGGGAAGAGGGGAACAAAAAACAACACTGTAAAGCACTGTAAAGAAAACACCAGAATTAAAAGTAACCGAGTATTGATAAAACAGAGTAAGTTAAGAAAGACATTACAGACAATGGAAGAAAAGAGTTGGGATACTCACGTAGTGCTTAAATGACAAAAATATAAAATCTAAACTTCAAAACAACAGCTTCTAGGCTTTGGGATTTATAGGACTTAATAATACCTGTGAAAGTGTACAGAAATTCCTAATTTACATGGCACTTCACAAACAAAAATAGAAGGGCACGAGACTACTTAGTAGGAAAGCTTAAGCAAGACGGGCTACAGGTGATAGTCTGGGAGAGAGGCAGCACCCGATTTACTGATGAGGAGATGAAGGTACAAAAGATAGCTTGAAGAGACCATCTGATGCAGGTAAATACATCAGTGAAAACCTCAGCAATCATGGTAATTCAAGAAGGAGCTTCCAGCAGAATGGAGGTGACTTACTAAAAAGGGAACGTATATCTCACAATGGAGCAGTTTTCTTTGTCACGATCCTCAGGTATTCATATACTGTGAGGCTAGAAGGAATCATTGTGATCTAGCTTTCTGTGTAACAGTCCTGTTAACATATTAATTGCTATTTCATCATATATCAGTGACTACTAATCCTTTTTGAATTTGATTAGTATCTGTTTGATTTTGAAGTTTTCAGCAGTATAACGCAAATGTTGGTTTATTCCAATAAATACCTTACCCTTTTAAAAATAAATACCACTTTTTCTCATTTTAATGTGTCTTGATTCAACTCAAAATCTTTGAATAGCAGACTAAAGACCTTCTTGTTAACACCTTGGATCTCAGACTAAAGACTCTGTTGCCATCAAATTCCTTTTCTGATATGGGTACTTACAGATTGTAATGAAGCAATTCTTAAACTTCCCTTTCTTAAATTACAAACTAACAGCCTGCAAGTACAAGGCCCTTCTTTAATCTTGATCTTTACAACTCTACCCAGAATTTCTCAGTTGTTACTTATCTTTCTTCTTGGACTGTGGACACTGCACTTGGGCACAATATTCCAGCTGAGATAGCAGAATTGCTGAATAAGAAGCGTAACACAAGTTTTTAACAGCTATGTAAGAGTCCTCTATATAAATAAGAACGAGGGGTAGTATCAGCACAGCATCTCTTGAGCATAGTATGAGCCTTTAATGCTGTGTTCTGCTGATTATCCATTATGATACTTAGGCTCTTATATGGACTTTTCTTACCTTTCAAGAAAAAAAAAACCCACAATGTATTTAGCCCAGCTCTGAGCTAAATATACATTAATGTAAATTCTGGTTTAATACCCGTGAAAATCGAGGGGCGCGTGTCTTTCCTTTACTTTTTAGTACCATATGTGCTAACTGAGTGGTTGAGTGTTATTCTTAGATTCAACTATCATGTTCTATTGCATTTCAGTTCATTTTAATTAGATATCAATTAGTAACAAAATCTTTACAGTAAATATTTGAATAAGGTGAAGTATGAAACATTTTTTAAAAGGCATTTTTAAAGGACACACCCGGTTTTCTGCTGTTCAGTACTTTCCTAACATAGGTCCCTCTCCAGATGGCTTGAAGTTTAAGAGCTGCTGCTGCTTCTTCAGAAGTGGGAGATCGGTTCTGCCAGCTACTAAGGGAATTCTCACAATTCTCTGAAAGAAGGGGAGGAGAATGAGCAACATCAATAATGTGGGAAGTTCCGTAGCTGCTTGCAATGAAGTTAAAAACAGAACAAAACAAAACAAACCAGAAAAGGATGAGAGATATATTCCAGAAACAGAGTAGTTTCTGCATAAAACTTCCATTTATGACAAAAACATCACTCAAAGTTTTGCTATTTTCATGATAAAATTAGAAAAATATACAGTGTAATTACACAAAGTCAGAATGCAACTACTATGCTTATTCCAAATACCAAATCATTGAATTCTTATTTCTCTTTATGGACAGCTATTGCAGTGCATTTTTTAAAATCAAGTCTCCTAGTGTAATTCCAAAATATCCTTCCAAACATGAACAAACAGGATTCGATACGTTAAAGCCTGACTCCGAATACAGCTTGAGAGAGCTTCACAAGAGTTTAAGTGCTTCTGTCTCTCAATCTGATCATTTTACTAATAATTTAAACACCAACGTTGCTCAAAACATTGTATTCAATCTTCACTAAGGAGCCATGGAATAAGGGTAAGATCTATGACAGAGCAAGAGTTCCCATATCTGACTGTGACTTTCTGTTACAAAGGAGTTTTGGTCTAGCAGACAGGTTATTAATGAGCTCTTTGAAGGCATCCTTGCCTAGAATTAGAATCTTGGAAGCCATCAGCACCAGAGTTTAGGACAAAGGTGTGGGGAGCAGCACTACAAGGGGGCAGTGCCAGGGGGTCAGTTTTGAACTGCGCAGATAAAGAACCAGGGCAATGAGATGGCATGAGAGGAAGGAAACAGCGCTCCAGAAGGAAGTGCAGACAAACAAAAAGGAGGAGAAAAGAGAGAAATTTGCTTGAAAAATGCAGACAAAATTACAGACAAACCGACTAGCTTAAGCAGAGATATTGCTGTCATCAGCCAGGAGATCACACATTTCATTCTAATCTCTTTTATTGAACATTGTTAAATGTGACTGTTCCCTACCATCATTCCTCATTATTGTCTCATTTCCAAACCCCAGAAAGCCTCTTTAATACTTAGTGACTCTGAAAGGTTACAGAAGCTCATTTCAACAGACAACAGACTAGAACTCAGCAACATGAATGGCACAACCACTTTTATAAAACAGATGCATATAATCACAGAATAATATAGGCTGGAGGCGATCACTGAAGGTCATCTGGTCCAATCCCACATCCAAACCAGGATCAACTTCAAGCAGATTGCTCATGGTCTTGAGCAAATGTCCAGTCCACTGTTTAGTATCCCCAGGGATAGAGACTCCACAACCTTGCTGGGTAATTTCTTCCAATTTTTGACTAGTCTTATGGCGAAAAATGATTTCCTAATATCCAACTGGAATTTAACATATTCTAAGATATGTCCTGTCACTGTGCATCTCTGAGAAGGGTCTGGCTCTTATCTTCTCCCATTTATTCATCAGTGACCCATATTTCAAGATGAATTTGTCCCATCTGGAAGCTTGTCTATTTTATAATTAAATAATCCAGTGGCAAAACGCTTTTTGACCTCACTAATAATTGTTTTCAATGAAAGGAAATAGAGTTCTATTTTTAGCAGGTGTTTTAGCTCAGAATAACGGCCTCTGCTGCAGAGCTTACATTCCCCATATAAGGCAAAATAATGTATTACAAAGTAAATAAAAGCTGTATACTTTTTATATGAACACACAGTTACACAGACTGACCTAACAAGTAAGGAGACCCTAAAACTGAACCTGAATTAACAACACATAAAAATGTGACTACAGCTAATGTTACTCCTGGTTCATCTCAGCATCTCTTGTTCTTGTTGCTTCTGAATCAATAATCAAGTAATGGACAACTTCCCCAAGAAAGTTCCCAACTGGTGCAAGATGGTACCACCTGCACTTGGTTTCAGACAGGTAAGCAAGAAGTTTAGTAGTGTCAGGTTGTATGTTACTGCCAATAGGCTCTCCTCTTAAGTCATATAAGAACCTTGTAATAGGTGCAAAAAATGAATACTGTACAAAGAGATCACATAGTGGCATGGTGAGTCGGATTAGCTTGCTGAATGAACATTTTTTAATGTCTTTTTCCCCCCGACTTAGCTTTCTGTGAAATTAGCAAGCTGATGTGACTTCCTAGCATCTGTGTAACTGCTTATGGTGGGACTACATGTTCTGGGATGGGAAGGGGGGAAGGACATTAGTAGTAGCATTCAGTGAAGCTGCACTTTAAGGTCTAAAAAGATCAGAACATGATCTGCATTTAATCAATGGCTTATATTGTATTTCAGTATTTGTATCACCAGCAGTAACATTAATAATATCCACAGAACCATGAATTGCCTATAAGCAGGCTCCAGAAGTGACTAAAATTGACTTAGGTATCATAAGTCTATTTTTTTTATTACTGAATTATGTTTGCCAACTTGGCAGGCTAAATCAGCCCAGCACAAGCTTTGCTCAATGCTGGAGCTGCAGGAAGGTGTGGGGGTAGGATGGGAACAGCCTGCAGTTGCACTCTTTTAAGCTGCTGTGGAGCTTCAGCTTCACTTGGGAGGGACAGTAAGTATTTATAGCTGTGGTCAGCAATTGCAGCTGAGTCTTGCTTTTCTACTGTAGAGGAGTTTATTCAAAGACAGAGGAGCTGGAAGGGCTTGCATTTTCCAAAAGCTGAAAATCATAGTGCCATAAGCACTTATAACAGCACTTACGTTTTCCTATACTGCTATTGATTACAGAACTGTTCACCTGTACCAGTTCAGATCTAGCCCAATAGATGTTTCTCATCTGCATGGCCTTTATATGAGACCAGGCTGATGACTTCAAATTCCAGCTCACCTGTTGCTGAACCAAGACCTCATTATCCCCATTACTCCCTCAGAACAGGGCTGTGAAATGCTGATAGGGGAATACACACAGAGTGTTGGCTTGGTGTTACCCTATGAACTAACTGAAAAGTTTATCCACTGGGGATGTCAAGTGGACTCTATAACTAGAAATAAATACCTCTGTCACTAGAAATAATACATTTCATTTGTGAAGCTAAAGAATCTATAGATATACATCAATTAAATGTTAAATTGTTTCTTAGTATACAAATATAGTAATTCAGATGCAGTGTCACACAGAGAAATGAATCACATAATGGTTAGGGTTGGAAGGGACCTCTGGAGATCATCTAGTCCAACCCCCCTGCCAGAGCAGGGTCACCTACAACAGGTTGCACAGGACAGCGTCCAGGCGGGTTTTGAATGTCTCCAGAGTGGGAGACTCCACAACCTCTCTGGGCAGCCTGTTCCAGTGCTCCACTACCCTCAAAGTAAAGAAGTTCCTTCTCATGTTAAGATGGAACTTCCTATGTTCAAGTTTATGCCCATTACCCCTCGTCCTATCACTGGGCGCCACTGAAAAAAGACTGCTCCCATCCCCCTGGCATCCTCCCTTTAAGTATTTGTAAGTATTAATAAGATCCCCCCTCAATCTTCTTTTCTCTAGACTAAAGAGACACAAGTCCCTAAGCCTTTCTCCATAGGAGAGATGTTTTCTCCATATGAGAGATGTAGAGAGATGTGGATTCTCTCCAGCCTGTCCAGGTCTCGCTGTATGGCGGCACAGCCTTCTGGCGTGTCAGCCACTCCTCCCAGTTTTGTGTCATCAGCAAACTTGCTGATGGTACACTCTATCCCTTCATCCAGATCATCGATGAATACGTTGAACAAGACTGGGCCCAGTACTGACCCCTGAGGGACACCACTTGTTACTAACCTCCAACTAGACTCTGCACCACTAACCACAACCCTCTGAGCTCTATCTGTAAGCCAGTTCTCAATCCACCTCACTGTCCATTTATCTAACCCACATCTCCTAAGCTTGCCTGTGAGGATGATGTGGGAGACAGTGTCAAAAGCCTTGCCAAAGTCAAGGTAGACAACATCCACTGCCCTCCCCTCATCCACCCATCTAGTCACTTCGTCATAGAAGGCTATCAGATTAGTCAGACATGACTTCCCCTTGGTGAATCCATGTTGACTACTTCTGGTAATCTTCTTTTCATCCAGGTGCTTTGAGATGGTACCCAGAACAAGCTGCTCCATCATCTTTCCAGGGATGGAGGTGAGGCTGACCGGCCTGTAGTTTCCCGGGTCATCCTTCCTGCCCTTTTTGAAGACTGTCAGTCTGTGACAGTCAGAGTGACATTGGCTATCCTCATGAATTCTATGCATAGAAACTATCAAAAGTTTACCTAGAACAGGCTGAGAACTGGAAATGCTGAATGTTTTCTGAAATTATATATTTCTAAAGATTTAATTTCTTTTTATTCTAACTTTTTTAATATAATCTCTTAAGAAGAAAAATATTTTTATTTGTAACATACAAGTCAAAATAATGAAGTCAAAATTAAATATTCTGATCTTCAAAGGTTTTTTTGACTTAATGCTTCTTAGTATTTTGTCTTATAAACAGAGAAGTATGTTACTGTGAAATGCTTTAAATCAACCAATATTAACTAGTGGATGCTTCAAATTTGACATTGAAAACTGATCCATCAAAAATTTCTGACATGCTTTACTTGTTAATTAGAAGATACCCTGCTAATAATAAAACCCAAGTTCTCAAAGCAGCTTAGCAAGACTTTCTTCACCATAAAAGCAACTGCAGTTTTCTCATAACAGTGTGGAGGCATCTACTGTAGACAACTAACATAACATTTCATTTGAAAAAGGTCTATTTTACATGTACTGGAGAGACACGTTACATATTCAACCAAATAATGGCAAACTTTCCCTCACCCCTTACTGAAACTCAAGTTCAAATCCAAACAAAGTGCAAGAAGACACAAATGTCCAGAATTATCTCTCTACTCACAGAGCACAACTGTATGATCACTGCTCTTAACCTATGTCTCTGGAGGAAAGAGAAGCTTGCTCTGGAAGGGAACGGGACAGAAACAGGACTTCTCAAATACAGTTTACACAGATAAGATTATAGCTAACAGCTTGACTTCTAGATAAGATTAAATTTCACACCAGAGGGTTTTAACAGAACTGCACACAAAAGGCAGTATTTCCAACTTCAAAGTTGGAATTTATCCATGAGAATGAAATGTACCTTTTGCCTTGTGCCTAAATGACTGTCAAGAGTCTGAGTCTCCACGCTTTGAAATCAGTGCCACAGAGCTCCAGTGAATTCATGAACTGAGTGGTCTCACTATTGGGACAAATGAAACCAGGACAGGGTAAACAGAGGGAATGTGCAACAGAGAGCATGCAAGCAGTATTGAGCTGTCAGAACCGTCTCACTTCATCTCATGTAACATCATCCTGATATGCTTCCTTTCCCAGGATACATCACATACCTCCATAAATTCAGCATCTCATGACAGCCCAAAGTTCTGCAGGGTCCCTTTATCTACTGTCTTCCCAGAAGATCATAGAAGAGCCATGCCAAGGAAGGGTACTCTGCTTCAGAAACATCCATCTTCTTGTCCTATGTTCACATGGCATGGTCTTCCACTTGTTTCTTGTGGCTCCTATGCTAATCGCTCCATGGGGATGGATGGTATTTGGCAGACATATAAATGTCACTAGATCATTTTCAGGATGGCTTCTCAGAAACCTTAATAGGCTTGCCTGTTAACTACGGTACATCATAATATCCTCGCCCTCGGTGAATCTTGAGATTAATTCAGCCCACAGTGCGAAATGAATATGCTAATATAAAATGTAGGTGGCATTTAAAAAGAAAAGCTCAGATTTGACCTGATCTACTCTCAGAAACAAACAACAGAAATATTTAATTTATCTGTTATAGTAGTTTACACTGATGATGGTTAGGTTGCAAAGGGTTATAACTCAAGTCTTGACAAGACCTGAGCAACTAGCCTGACAATGCAACAGTGCTAATGTGGGCCAGGCAAATCAGGTAATGCCAGTCCTTCTAGACCTTCCTACAATGCATTTTTCACCTCTTTCTTCCTGCTATCTACCTCTTTTTTCTTGAAACTTCAGTTGATTTCTGCTTTTCCGAATGCAGCTGTCTCAATTTCTTTAGCGTTCTGGAATTATTCCAATGCAACTTTTATTAGGCAGGGCAAAATATATGTCCAAGGTCAATAAAGCCAAAGGGAAACAATTCACTTTCCAGTCCAATAGGAATCTTTTGTAATTTAAGTCTGGAAAAGCAGCTAAATTAAAAAGATATATTGGACACTGGAGGAAATCAAATTGAAACAGAACTTTTCTCCTCCATACATTTACTCCACTTTTTTGATTCACTCCCCAAATCCTAAAAAATATTCTGCCACAGTGGATCTCATAATTCAGTTATATATATGAAGTCTTTGCTACAACCTGTCAACTGTGCTAATTATTCAAACCTAATTTAAAAATATCTTCTTTTGCTGACAAGTATTTAGCTTTTTTGGGGAGGAATACAGAAATTAGTAGCACAGCCATCTTGAAAAATGTGACAGGTATTGTTGACTTCAAACAGTATTACAAATGTCAATATGCTGACCCTTATAACACATACTTTTGCCATAGGATATAATTCTGTGAAAGATGAAATGAGTTATTATTAAGTCATTCTGGCTGATCCTTTATCTCTGCTATCTCACAGAAGAATAGCCTTCAGAAGAGAAGAGAGTTGGAGGAAAGTCCCTATAGAAAAGTGAGAAAAGTATATGTGCTTTCTTAATGAAAGAGAGTATTACATCATTTTTTCAGTAAAGATATTAGTGTAAATTTAAGTTTTTTAATACGGATTTTCCAAAATAAACTGACTAATGAAAGGAAGTTAATATCATTTTGTTGACCAAGGAGAATGACTTTATACTGTAAGTTCAGAATACCAGAAGGAACAGATAAGTCACCCTGCATGGCCTTCAAATGGTGATGATGTATCTTCCTGTCAATTTTTCAGATAAATTCTTTTTCTGTCATAAGAGGAAACCATGTAAATAAAGCACCTATTAATAAATTAAATATTAATATTAATGGACTTAAAAGTTACATAGACTGCAAAATAAGTCCCCTAAAATGGAACAGAGACATATATTTGGTTGGCAGGCAAACTTAATTCTAACTGCTTATGCCTCCAGCCTTCATGCAAAATGAGGTAAACAACCTGCGGGAAGAGAATTACTCCTGCTTGTAATAAATCTGTTTGCTTTCCATTGGCTCCTCCCACAGTACCTTTGGGTGTACAGCATACACTAATCACAGGCTGGAGAAGAGGTGGATGGTCCTGTAGCTAGTTCCCCACTACATGTGTGTGACTAGCCAGCTAACTAGCCAGCCAACATGATAACATGCCAAATAATAGGCTTGAAAAACAAGCAAGTAAGCAAACAAACAAAAACCAAAATACCCACCCCACCAAACAAACAAACAAAACCCTTCAACTCATAACCAGGAAACAGTTGGTTGAAAGTTGAACTTTCAATGAAGGTACTAAATTGAGTCTTCCTTCAATTTCAATTCGTGAACAATATACATTTAAGGTCTTTTCAGCTGGTAATTTGAACAAGAGCCATCATTTGCAGTACATTGGGTAAATAAAGAATCTGTAGATGCTTGTTAATGCTTGTCAATATTGACAAATGCAAGTCAAGGAAGACAAAGGACAATTTTATAAATTAATAGAACACGAACAGACTTTCTGGAATAAAGAAAAGAATCATTTCTATTCTGAGCCAAGTCTCAGACGTGCTGTCAACACTAGAAGGCTTAGGCATCTTGTAAGAAATTAACCATGCTTACTTAGGGAAGAAACCACAAGATTAGTGAAGAGCTGGCGTCCTTGAAAATAAGAATGGGCAGATATATTTGAAGTGATTAGCAATACCAGTACAGTACCTGAAGACACAGTGTCATCCTCAGAAATCTCAATGTCTTTAAAATCCAAAGTGAAGGACCTGAAGGCAAATTTACAGCTGTAAGAAGCCTTCTTGCCTAATGCATATTTGATCAAATACCAAAACGCACTATTGAAAACCTAAAAACAGAAAGAGGACAAGTACTCAGTGTGATTAATTTTGAAAAGCTGATTTATATTGCTTCTTATTATTGTTTCAAAAACTGTTTAGCTCTTTTCTTTTTTCATGTAAAAAAAGTCTTTAACTTCCTTGAACAAATACAGTATCTGAAAATTAGTCCCAACGGTAGGACTACAGTGCTTCAAGCCAACAATCAAGAGAAACCTGTATCATGCCTGGCTTATTAAATATAGGACTAAGTCCTATATTTAGGTTTATCACACAAAACCATCTTAGTAGTTTATGTAAAGTGAGTTCATGGTCTCATACCAGAGGACAGAAGAACACATTATAATCACCATCACGACAAGTGGCATGCTAACCAGAGGTTTCAACTGAATGGGCATGCTTACTGAATTAGGCAGTGGCACAACAAGGAAAAGTAGGAATATATTGATGGGACAGGGGAAGATTTGGTGTCCTACCTATATGACTAACTGATGGCTTTGTTTTTATTCTTGACATATTGTTGCTTTTTAAAGAATAGAAATCCAGTGTCTTTTTCATTCTTCCCATAGATGGAAATTTTAAAGTGTGTTTTTCAGAGGTTGTTTCATAATTTGAATTGAAGAACATACTAATAACTTATTGGAAAAGACAAAATTTTTCTCTTTCATTGTCCTTATTTTCAGATTTTTCTGCTTTCTGGAAACATTTTATCCTAAGTTACATATTTTAATATTAATAAACACTTCCCTTATTTTGAAATATTTGACTGGTGAAGAAATAATCTACTTTACTACATTCTTCTGTTCAGAATAATTTTTCACTGTTCATATTAAACATAGATAAATTCCATATTTTCATTCTTGAATCACTGTCGGCTAGGTGCCTCTCATTTATCTAATTTCTGGGTTTTTTTATTCCTTTACAACTATACACTGGTCTTCTTAGAGAGGAAAAGATATGTATGTTCATGCCTACTGAATCTTTCTGAAGGTCATTAAGGTCTACACATATTTCATACAAATATATATATTTAAAATTTCTATTTTCATTCCAGAGAAGTCAAACTGATCTTTTCTGTTGGACTTGGCATGAAAATTACCTCTTTCATGACTGGTTCTTTCTTAATTCCGTTGTTTTGCTGAATTTGAGCCTACTGTCAAGCCCATGTATAAAAGCAGTGGCTTAGGTGTTCTACTTTTTAATATCGGTGATTATAAAAATATTAAACTATTCTTCTAGTCAGTCTTCTAAAATATGCAGTCTAAGCTGCATGAGTTTTCTAGTACTTTGACGAAAGTAAGTGAATCTGAAATATACAAAATACTGCCTGTAGAAAAATCAAGTTACAGCAGTATTACCAACATTTGCAAATACATAAAAATTAGCATGTGTTTTACATAACTTTTTTTTGCAATCTTTTTATAATATTGAAAAACTACAGTATAGAGATCTATATAAAAGAGTAATGTTTTCATCATGTATCTAAAGGCCCTTTAATTTATGACACACACAAAGCAGAAAAGTTGAGTAAGAATGTTGCAGTTCCAAAAAACAAAATAAAAAGACTCAGAAATACTGTGAGTGAAAAAAACTCATTAACTGCCTCCAGTAATATAAGCTGTAATAATGTTTTCCTGTGACATCAACATTAGGTACAAAAAGAAACCATTCTGGCTTTTCTGCATTTCAGGTAGTGTCTTTTAAATCCAAAATCAAGTCATAAAATAAAAAAAAGCTGATGCTTTCTGCCTCAAAGTGTGCTAAACTAAACTGATAAAATTAGACTCAAATTTAGAATGTGCTACTCTTCACATATTAATTTTTTTCATATTAAAAGAAGATGATTATTGTACACAGTTGCAAGTTATGTCATTTGGGCTTACACTTAATTATGAATGCAACATTTTGAGCACCCAGGTTGTCCTTTGTAAAAGCATAGTCATTGGTTTGAAGAGGATAATTAGGATGTTAAGCTGTTATCCGTCTTCTGTAGCCTTTAGATACATGGTTATTAAAATTGTTTGTTCACCTTGAAATGTTCTTCAGCCGTTCCAGTACCATGGAGGCCAGGAGGACAGTGCGTTAGTTCCAACTCCTTCAAGGCTTTAGAAAGTTCAGGTTTACTGCTGAAATTATTTATCACATTTCCAACAGCTTTCAGGATAGCTGTAGCCTGTCCTATAAACCGGTAGCTCTCCTGGAGAGGGAGAATAAAAACAACCATTGGTAGAAAGATTATTTTAAGATTTTCTTTTGTTTTCTTTCTAGGTTGTGACAGCATACAAGTGCCTTTTCTCTGATGAAGCACAAAACTTTTGTTAAGTCAAGCAACTGTTATTGATTTTATAAACTGTAAAATCAATTAGGTCTCTGGTATTCAAAAGCGTACAAAATTTTCACTGATTTTAGTTATTGAAATAAAAATGTTACAACACTGTAACAGGCACCAAAACATCTATCTGTTGAAGATTTTCTTTTTCCTGTATCATTAGTCCAAGGACATTTAATCAAAATTAAGATACATATGGAGACTTTCTACTGTAGTAAGACTCTTGTTAGCTGAAAGGCTCAGCATCTCTTCTGTTATTAAAAGGACAGATGAGTATTTGTATGCTGCTGAAAACAACATCCAAATACATGTTGCCTAAAGCATCATTAATCTTCATTAGGATTTGTGTGCAAGAATGTGGACACTTTCCTGCAAATGACACTCTGCAGAGAAATTGCTGTCTTCAAAAAGACGAGCAAAGAAGACCCCAGGATATAATTCTGCTTTATTTTCTTGATGAAGAATAGCTTTTCATCCACAACCTGAAGACAAGGGGACAGTACAGCCACAAGGCATTTTTAATGGCCCAACTTCTATATTTAAACTGCTTTGCTACAATAAATGTAATAAATTTGCACAAGCTGCTTTAATGTCCTATTATAAGGACCCCGAATCTACACTGCTATATCAATTTGCTGTTACACTCACCTTTCAAAATATTTTGTACAACTGTGCTCTAGAAGCTATACTCCCTCCCCTCAGTGCCCATGACAAATATTTAGACCTACTGCTTGCCAAAGAAATCTTGAAAATACAGATGACAGTGATATCTGTCTGGATTGCAGGCAACGAAGAATAAAAGCTGTAGTAATTACTCTGCTAGGCCTGTTATCTCAGCTATGAAAAGTTGTTTGAATCAGTTGTTCATTTTAGATATCACAGCTGCTCTGGGACCTAGTGAGTAATATGTGAACTCATGGGACAAAACAAACTTTACTGATGTAACAGTTTATTTTACTAGGCGAGTATTTTTAAATATTAATTAATATCGGTACATGTATTTTATCACTTTTATCCCATGCTTCAAAAAGAGAACTTATATGCTACCTCTAACATACGTATTCCAAGAAGAGTATTTTTAACATTCCATTTTAGGCTGCTATTCTATGAAAACCACAACACTACCCAATGCTTACTTACATATTTATATAAGACAACTGTTGCAATAACTATCTTGGTGCCTGCTGTGCTATAAAATGCATTTCATTTATGTACTCATCCATTTCATATTGAAATTAATATTATACCATTAAATATAACTCTAAATGAAGGCCCAACAGTACTTCACTTCAAAACCAAGTAACAGTCAGAAACAATGTTATCACAAGGCTTGACTAGTTCTGGTTATGCATACCTTTTCAAGACCTGGCATCACAGTATCCTCTTCTCCAAAGACACATGGCACCATGCTACACAGGTGAATATGGTGCCCTATGGGAGAACTTACTGTGAAGAGCAATATGTGTCGCCTACATTCAAGAAAAAAAAAAATTACAAAGTGCTTTTTGGATTAAATCACAACAATTGTTAAGCTTTTACTTTCATACATTTGGTAAAAATGAAATCCTTCCCTAGATGTTCTGGATCTTCAAATCCTGCATTTCTAAATGCTTGCTTCTCAAGGACCTCCAAACATAGGCAGTAAGTGAAATCAGAGAATTCACTATTATTTTATTTTAATTTTATTTATTTAGGCTTTATTTTTATGTTCTTTAGCAAAATAGGCAGTCTCACTATTTCAGATGGGTACACCACCAAAATTTTAATCAGGATTATAGTTAGCTACACTTAAAAACATATTGCTCTAGAAAGCTTAGAGAAGAAGTCAAATGTTCTGGTCATACATTACTTAGATCATAATTTCCATGTTTGCATTGACAAAACCAGGAAAAATTAACGCATAATCGTGTCAAACTACAGAGTGGCCATTTTATGGAGCAACTGTGGGCCAAACCACCCAACCGTAACCTCCTAAGGTGGCAAACAACAGAAATCCAGTATGTCTTACTGGGATACACTCAGATCATTCTTGTTTGCCTGATCGTATCCTATAACAGATCCCAAACATAAAAGAAACCATTCCCAACTACAGTTATACAACACAGGGGACTCATGCTCTTCTCTCCAGTCAACAATGTCCTGCAGGCCCACTGCAATACTTGAGGAGCTTGTTGATACCAAATGGTGAAGCTTTATATCATCGTCAGAATGGCATTTAGCTGAAGAAGTTTACCCAGGCCAATAACTTCAAAGAGTTAATCAGAGATCCAGCAGTGAGAGTAAGAAAGGAGAGTTACACACACACTCGCACTTTTTTAACTGCATCTTCTTGCAAGTGAAATTTGAAATGCCCCCTGGCCGCCAACAGACAGAGGGAAGAAAGCGCCTTCCTGGCTTAGCAAGTCATTTCTCATTTGGAATGAAATGGGGAAGCAGTCAATAAGCCCATTTGTCTCCCACACCTGCTATAAATTAAATCTTTCTGAAAGCCTGCTGGCACTGCCTGGAGTAGAGAATCAAAGGTGAGAAGCGTATCAAGTTGAGCTGCCCGTATGTCTGCTAGCTTTGAAATTTGCAGGTGCAAAAAGATATATGTTTTTGGCTTCCCTACGGGACAGAGATGTGCAACTTTTGGAAACTACGCTATGAAAATACATGTGGTGCCAGAACTAACCTATAAACACAATCATAACTTTTCCATTTTTAGTCTGAATCAAAACAAATAGAGAGCACTATTAAAGATCTTTGATTTGATATTGTAGTATTTTCTTTCTATGCCTATTTATTTGACACCTGACTTGATTTTTTAAAAAGTACATTTTGTCTCATCTCTCTGAGATTAAACTGGTGATTCTCTATTTTTTGAAAAGTAGACGGTCTCAATGAATTAGTCAGCAACTTCATGCTTATAGCAAGATATGAAGACGTCATCTTCCTTGTTTCACTGGAAGCATTTTCATAAACTAACAAATATCAAAGGCTCTTCCCTTTCATCTATTTCTTTATTTAAACAATCAGTCAATGCTCTACTCTGAATATCTACAGATACATGCAAAGAGAAATAAATCATATTAAGCACTGTGAATGTGTGACTTGCTAAGATATGCAAGCCTTCATGGATAACCTCAGAATTTCTCCTGTCATGTTTCATAAATCCTATTTCAAGAAAAGTTATGAAACTTCCTATGGTATCATCATGCTTTTACAGTTCCACTAAAAATCCTAATTCTTTAGTTTTTGTTGGTATTCCAGGAAACATCTCAAAATCATTCTAGTTAGAAACACTTTTAAGTAGGAGTTTCTATTCTAGCTTATTTTTCAGCAAGTCAGTGTGATTTTTCTTGCTAAATGCTCTTAAGTAAGAGGAAAAAATTCAAAATCTTTATAAAGGTTTTGGTCATTATTTTAAATTCATAGCAATATTGCAGTCTTACCAAATCCTAGCTATCAACCAGTTTGATATTCCAAAAACTTATGTTTTAGGAAATAAACTCTTAGTTACTGTGTAAAGTAAAAGATCGTCTCAATCCTAAAGACTAAAGTGTTAGGACAGACATGAAACCTCATACATACCCAACAGGAAGATTTAACAGAGTAGCTTTGGTTGCGGATGTATGCATCTTTAATAGAAGTTCTCCAGGACTCACACATTTCCAAGAGAAATGTTCAACCATCAGCACACCCTTTGAAATACTAGAACATTCTTGTTTATCACCTAGATTAAGAAAAAACAAAACAAAACCCCACAACACACAATTGCAGGGGGGAATAACAATGAAATTAAGACAAATACACTTACACAGAATCTGTAGTTTCTTCACAGTCATTAAGTCTTCATTTAGACTTTGATAACTCAGAGAAAAGAGCCAGTCATTTAAAATGCATAAGTGGTACAGAATATGGCTTATTTGTACTATTTACAAGAAAATAATGCTTAAAAGAATGAGTTAGGGGGATGTGTAAATCAGACATCTTCCAAGTCACTTAATGCTGCTCTAAAACTCCATGAAAATCCATTCTGTCCACATGCAAAGGAAGCAAACAGCCATACAAAGCTTATATTTATATTATAATTATTTTAACGGGATGGTCAGTTTGGTTTTTTTAAGCTTTTTTTTTGGTTCTATCTACTCTAGATGCACTAAAATTATCTCCTTACCCAATATTTAAATGTCTGATTAACTTAAGCCGACTGTTGTAACATAAAAATAAACAACGGTGATATTGCTGATTTCACTGCATTTTGATCAGCTAAGGCATAAAGTAGCTTGCAAAAATAAAATTTGTAGAAAAAGAAACCCTAAGAAACACAAGGAAATCCATACTAGATATATACTGATGAAAAGCTTGCATCAAATCATAATAAACAGTAAAGGCTTTCCCAGAATCAATTTGGCCATTTAATGCTAAAGTCTCAAACTGTGTCAAAATACACCACAGACAAACACAACAGCACAGACATATTCAAGAATGGGAAAAAAACAACATTAACATGCGCTTTTCTATGTTGACCTTACCTCCAGTATCATCCCAGCGCACTAATGCAGAAAAGCTAACCAGGATTTCAATGGGCATCAGACTGTCCACAAGTAAGTAATAGAAGACTCGATCATCAGTAAACTGCATGGAAAAATGGACATTTGTTCATCTTTCATTTTCATTGAATGCCGTTGCTTGGACTTATACATAGTATGACTAAGATTTCAGATATTGTGACTCTAGATATGGTATGGGAAGTAAGTAATCCACTGTCACTACTTCTTCCAAATTTCAGACATGTCATTTAAGCCCACAGCCTCATGCTGCATGTATAAACCATAATGTTCACTTAAGAAATAAAAGGAATCAGAAAAGTTTCTTAAATGAGAATACATCTACATCTATATGATATTCGTCATAAGTACCTCGATTTACTAGTTCTACTTGCCAAACAACATTCAATGGAAGACCAAAAATTTTGGTTTGCACTGCAACTTTCTTATTCTAATTAATTACAGTAAGCTTGAAAGAAATAAGCACTCTTAATTTGTAACACATGACTGATTCTGCCTCATTTTGGTTTTTTTTCTACAAAAATATATGGAGGCAGCATTTTTCACTCTCAACTTTAATACATAATTAGTATTCCAGTATTAGAAACTATAGAATCATAGAATACCAGGTTGGAAGGGACCTCAAGGACCCCATCTGGTCCGACCATTCTTGGCAAAAGCACAGTCTAGACAAGATGGCCCCGCACCCTGTCCAGCTGAATCTTAAAGGTGTCCAATATTCAGGAATCCACCCCTTCCCTGGCATTATTCCAAAGGCTGATTTTTCTCGTTGTGAATGTTTTCCTCTTGCGTCCAATCGGAATCTCCCCAGAAGTAACTTGCACCCATTACCCCTCGTCTTTTCCACGTGACACCTTGTATAAAGGGAGTCTCCATCTTCTAAATACTGGAACATGGTGATAAGGTCTCTCCTAAGCCGCCTTTTCTCAAGGCCGAACAAACCCAATTCTCTCAGCCTTTCCTCATATGGCAAAATTTCCTCATCTTTGCGGCCCTTCTCTGGACCCTCTCCAGCCTGTCCAAATCTTTTTTGTACAGCAGGGACAAAAGCAGAACACAGTGTTCCACGCGTGGCCTAGAATGATTCTACTGTTCCTAGAAATCCTTCAAAATCTGAAGGTGAATGAGCTGCTTTGCTTCCAAACTGCTTTAATACATCTTCTTACATTCTCTAGAGTCATATCAATACATTTTTTTTATTTGATCCTGGAATACCACTACTATTATCTGTATAGCATAATATAAAAGTGTTCTTTTATAAGTCTCATACAGAATTTACCTAATAGTACCTAATAGTGTAAACACCTCATCTGTATCAATGTAAAAAAACAGAATGGTTTTACAGCAAAGGGTTAGGTTTTTGGCGCAATAACACACAGGCTTACATAGTCTAAATGCCAATTATGGCTTGTGAAAGTATATGGTGCCATGATTGGGAAAATTTCTTGTGATGTGATTACAAATAGAGAGAGGTGTGAAAATGCAGGTATACTACAATTATGAAGCATAACCCATGTAGTTAACCTTCTCAGTATAAGATTTTACATAAAGTTCACGCCTGGAGTTTACATTTCAGCACTCTGCAATTACACTTCAGTTACAGTAAAAAACTAGAGCTTGAACAGGATATTCAAGCACGTTGAATAACCTTCTGATAATATGAACTAATGGCAGGTTTAAAGAAACACTGTAATGTCAGTGTAACTAAGGGGTATTTCTGATCCCTGCAACAGAATCTTGCAAGTTGCTAAAGGACTTAGCATGTAAAGAGAAAATGGAGGGCTACGCTATACAGACTCCTGATTTGGGTTTTACATGACAGGTTAAGGTGAAGGAGAATTGAAGGGCAGATTCTGCAGCTGAATCATCATTAAATTTAATTTAGTCTCTAAATTGTTATAAGATAGATTTAAAACAATATAAAGAGAAGACGGAGATCTGGTTCACTGTAATATTTACTCTCACTATCAACTTTCATGATTTACATACTCAATATTTTTATTATTTTGTGATAGCATTCCATAACATTTTTTTCTTGTCTTGAACACAGTGAAATACTTCTGGATATTTGCTAGCAAACATTATCTTTATATTGACTATAGTAATCTTAATGCATTGTTATCTTTTCAGTAATAGCAGTTCTATGTGATCTACCAATATTATTTAGGATATATGTGTTATCTAGTTATGTATGACTTTGAGAAAGATTAAAAAAAGCACATAATAAGTCAATACAGTCATATACCTTAAAATCTGTCTTCTGATAGTTATAGGCATATGTGTGTGGCTTGTGGAAAACATACAGGTTCCTAGGAAGAAAAGAAAATAAAAACACATGTAGGAAAATAATCTTAGCATAAGTGATATATTTCAGGTAAATGTCTATTTCATAGCATAAGATACTAACTTTACTTTCATAAATCAGACTCACAGCTATTTCTCAAAAATGGTTCGACATTTTTAGTTTCATAAAAGGTGAATAAAATTCATCTCTAGAGAAAGCAGCTGACATTAATTTCTGTCTTTGCTGCGCTTTTACAGTTTTCCATTGGAGATCAGGCCATTTATTTGTCCAATTTGAATCTATAAGTGGTGATAAGCTAATATTACTCTAAAACTTCTGTGCCTACCTGAAAATCATTGTAATAAAGTTATCTATTGTATCATTGTAATAAAGTTATCTATAAATTATCACTGTAAGGAAGAACTATTTTGTATAGTTTATTAATGTGCTTTTTCAATTCTGTGGTGTGTGCACATCTTCAGAAAGCTACTTAGTCCCTGACAATTTTTTCTGACCTTGATTTAATCAAGGGCAACACAAATGACTTCAGCTTTAATTGAGGATGGAATCAGATGTGAAGTCCAATGTTTTACATAAAATAAATGTTTCGGTTACTCAGAAAATTCACAGGGATGTGATATGCTGACATATCAATTCCTGTAATGAGTAAAATTTTCCTCATTTCTCAAAGTTGATATGAACTCTGAACATTCATCTTTTTTTCACTGTATCTGAGATATAGGCACGTCAGACAAGGAAATGCTTTCAACAGAACTGACTGGTAAAAGGAAAATCTTAGGCGCCTAATTTCTTCTGAGTGATAACTTCTTCAAAGGTCAATCAAGATGCTTTGTTAACAGCTACTTTATCAGTTTACTGTGAAAATAAGTAAACTCTCGCCAGTTTAGGAATAGGAATAAGAAACTGACAAATGCTGTATACATTAATTAATAGTACAGTGGTCTACAAAAGGTCAACAGTACTTCGACGTTTGGCTAACAAGTTAAAAAATTCGTATTTTACATTCTCTCCATAGGACACTCTGAGCAAGACTTTGAAAAGAAAGGAAATTACCTTGCTTGTGATGCTTTTTTCTGAAGGCCCTACGTTCTTGGACCTGAGGCTCCCTAAAATTAGTCAGACAAACCCTAACAAGGTCTAAAGTGATCTATGAACTTGTATTCCTGAAGTTCCTGTAGTGCTGCTGGTAAAAAAGTTATACATTCTCCCTCAAAGAGGAAGCAGAGATTAATATCTGCTCAAGAAAACACTCCTTTATGAAAATAAAAGCTTCACAAATAAATCTCAGTTACAAATTCAAATGAAAAAAAAAAAAAGGGTGAATTTTCTCTGATAGAATTACTCCCCTCAGCAATGTCAGATTCTCTAAAGGATCTATATTGCACCAGGCTTCATAAATCTGAACAACAGAAGCTAAAGATATTACGCTACAATTACACTAGCTTTTTTATGTCTGTGGAGGTATAGATGCCTCAGAATTATATTGAAAAGGGAGTGAAAGAAAGTACCTAGATGACCAAGCTGAGCTATGCTGATGGCAACAGAAGATTTCAACAACATTTTTTGCCTTAAAATCCTGTTGTTGAGATGCAGACTGCATTTGTTCAGTGGCTGATGGGTCAGGTATGTGAGCACTCTAATGGCAGCACGCTCCATGACCTACCATCTTCCACCCACATTTTAGTCTGACATATGCTTTGTGAAGCCGGTGGTTGTGTTCTCTGCTGTACCCTGGAGGACATATCCAGGACACTGTGTGGGGCTGCACCTACAGACTCACTGCCAACAGGCACTGTAAGTATGGTCTGAGGAGTAGCCTTGGGACTACCCCGAAAGGCAGGATCTGTTGAGAAGATACAGTTGTTATATAGTCACATTTCACACTTTACCATTGTTATACTGTATATTTTATGAAATAAACCCCAAAACCTCTGTTCCTTACTGGAAACAAACACAGAAGTCTTCAAAGCTAATCCAGGTTTCCCTGGAAACAGAAGTCCTTTCTGACTTGATTTCTTCCTTTGATTTATCCCCTGTTTGGCTGTTCATACCAGTATCAGCTGTTTCTGACATTCGTTTTGCATCAAAACTGATATTCTCATGTAATTCTTCTGCAGAGATAAGACGACACACAGGATCAATGCACTGACAATATGTACATTAAAGTAGTATTGCTGTTATATTGACAAATTACCTGAAAATATTTTTCCATACATCTCAGAGTTTAAAAATGAAAACTAACCCACTAACCTAAAAAGCTCAAAAGGTGACAGAAACAACTCTGTATAGATATTTCTTGTTTACATCTGCAACTGCTTCAGTATTCTGCCTCAATATACTATCACATATTGAACTGTGGACTAGAACCTTTAATATGAGAATGTTAGGTGAACATACATATGAATTCTGCAAATCTAAAGTCATCCATATAAAGAAAAATGCAACCCCTTGTCCAAAGCTCCTATTCAGCGAAAAGCTGATGGGGCAGTATAATCAAACTTTATTAGAGTAATAAAAAATACAGAAAATAAAAAATACACAGAATCGTGAAGGACACAAAGACCTATCCTTGCCTCTGGTACTTAGATAGTACCCCCTGTGATGCTGCTCATACAAATAAGGCTAACTACGTCTAAACAGAAATAGATTTGAATGACATTACATGAATTTTCTTGTAGGAAAATCAGAACTACTGTTAGATTCATACCAAAATAGACACAGAAATATCATGTAGACACCTTTTGCAATCATTTAATAACTTTCTAAGTTGTGTTGTAATGTCACTTTTTATGCCTTTACTCTGTGAGATTCATATGAACAGTTATTGAAGATATCTAACCTGGCTCAAATATCTTAGAAAAGCTGAGAACAGTAGAACAGAACAGCTATTAATTCAGAATGTTTGCTGAGGTAAATGAGGTTATAACCAAACAGATAAGGTATAAAAAATGAGAAAGCTAATTAGAAAAATACATAATTTATACATAAATGTGTTTTGTAATACTTCATGATCAGCAAGATACATAGTGATGTGATGGATGACAAATGAATTTGTAAGATGTAGGTGGCTCTAAATTAGTTTGCAATTTTTTTTCAAGAACTGAAAGAAAGCGGCTGAATATGAGCTGGCAGTGTGCACAGGTGGCCAAGAAAGCCAAGGGCATCCTGGCTTGTATAGAAATAGCGTGGCCAGCAGAAGTAGGGAGGTGAGCAGGGAGGTGATTGTGCCCCTGTACTCAGCACTGGTGAGGCCACACCTCGAGTATTGTGTCCAGTTTTGGGCACCTCAATACAAGAGAGATATCGAGGTGCTGGAGCGAGTGCAGAGGAGGGCAACAAAGCTGGTGAAGGGCCTAGTAAACCAATCATATGAAGAGCGGGCTGAGGGGAGACCTCATCACTCTCTACAACTATTTGAAAGGACACTGTAGAGAGGTTGGTGCTGGTCTCTTCT